CATGCAGAAATTGAATGTTATAATGAAGGGCTTCTTCTTGGCAAGAAGCAACAAAATCCATTCATCATGTAGGCAAAAAAATTGCAATTGTTTTTAAAAAAAGAAAGACAACTATTTGGAAATGATGTGCTTTGTTTCTGGATTACATGGGGACAAATTACATCTCTGTTTCATTTCTAAACACAGTAGTATTACATTAATGGCAGGTTTCGCAAAACTAAATCTGTATTATACAACTAATTGATATATAAGGACAGTTGTAATCTAATAATTTAATCAATAATCAATTGCATTCTATTGAAATATTATGTCAGTCGTTGGCACACAAATTACATGACTGACTGTAATCTTTCTAGCAAAATGAAGCAACTGGCAAGGAAATGCAGCTGAAATAACAAATGCTTATTAGTAAGAAAATTCAAGCAGACCCTGCATTTCAGCAACGGGCCAGTCACTACACTACTCACATTGTACCTTTGTCGAGGACATTCTAACTTAAATGATCTGTAGAATTCTAAAAATACACAGTGGAAGCCATCTACAAAGTGAGGTTGAAGAAGTCCTGAATATTTATGACTAATGTGCAGAGTCCCTTTACCATTTTCTAAATAATGCCCAATCCTATTGCTTATCTAACTCCAAAATTTGCTTTTTTACTCCCTTGTTCTATAATTGTTTACCTACAAAATGCACAGTCACTACACTTTACTGTGAATCTTGTGAAGTGCTTTGAGATGCCCTCTTGCTATGAAAAACACTATATTTGACAACAGTGCTAATTAAAACACATTTCCATCAGGGGTTATACCGTCACTGGGGTTCCAAACTGCCAGCCCTTCTCTTTCTGAAACATTCTTTTATTCTCTTTCTGCCTCTCTGTCTCCAAGTCTCTCTATAATAATAATAATCCTTGCATTTGATATAGCGCTTTTCACGTCTTCTAGACGTCTCAAAGCGCTTCACAGAAAATACTGAAAAGGGGATTGACTGTATATTTGTGGGCGAATGCAGTAGTCAATTGCGCACAGCAATGTCCCACAAACAGTAGTAGATTGAAAATGACCAATTTATTATTGTTTTGTTTTTTGGAGGGATTATTATTGGGCGTGTGGAGTAAGGAAACTTGCCCAAGGTTTCGTCCTGCCTGGAATTGAACTCAGGTCTCTCGCTTGCAAAGCGAGTGCTCTAACCACGGAGCTACAGGACTCCAACTTTCTATCTCTCCTCTTTATCTTTATGCCTATCTCTATCTTTAGCTTTGCACTGTACAAATATGTAAAAAATGTACCTTTGGCATACTTAGCTTCATGCTACTGGCAAAAAATAGTCCTGTTCTTCTCAAGCACAAAGTTGTTCACACACATGCTATGTTACCAGGGACACAATTTAGATATTCAGATCGTGCGCACTACAATTTTTTTTAGACAGTATCTAGCAGCCCCATGCCCAATACAGAAGTGGACATAAGTCTGCAAGATACTGTTCAACTGTACAGCCTACTGATTTAAATGAGTACGTGTTATGTTATTATTTGCACAATATTCACAGAATATCCTGTGTATAATCCTTGTTCACATCATACTGATGCATAATTAAAGAATACAAATACATTTCATCATCACTGGTTTATGCAATGTTGTTGATTAAGGTAATTGTATTATGTTACATTTCTACAGTGTTCTGAATGGGTATTAGGGACAGTTTTCTTTTGCAACATTTTCAAGCAAACCATACGTGATATTTTTTTCATATAGAAAATCCAAGCTACCATCTGCATGAATGGAAAGCAAGTCCTAGTGGACAGACTGGATAAAAAGACACTACCTGTGTTAAAAATTTGCAGAAGGATTTTTTTTAGGAAAAGCAAGAGTTATCATGCTTGTAAATTTGAACAATAATTAGAGGAGAAAAAAAACAGTGTATTGATTTCTTAGATCTTATACATTCATATAAATGTCAATATATAGCCCTGAATCAAATAGGGAATAACATTGCCTTTATTCTACTACACAAAGCCCCCTGTGTGCAATAAAAGTTTAAAGATTTGTTCCAGTTTAGAAAACAAGTGCAAAATAAACAAAATAATGCCATCTCAACTGTGTGTGACAGATTGTAACTTATATTAAAACTAGACCCATTTATTTTTTTCTCACAAATCTTAGCGTCTGGCTAATAAACTTTAGGAAAACCTATTGTTTGGATGAACCACCATAAGGTAGCACTGTGAATCAGCCTGAGGACTGCACCAAGGAGCCAGGGACCAGCATCACACACATACTTTCAGAGGAGTCGAGAAACCTCTGACTGCTCTTTATTGAGTAAAATCAGTCGAGCACAAAATTGAGCATGATAAACATAGTGGTACTTGTATATAGCTATGACACAAAACAAGGCAAAATTTATGTGAAGTGCCTTAAAGGCCAGTCTGAGGAGAAACTGTTAGTGCAAACACACCTAGAAAATGACAGAAAAATTACATAATTAGCATACTTTTTTTTCATGGGCTGTTCTCGTTCAACTCTAAACAGTTGAGAAAACCCAAGGTTAAAAACAATAATTTTCCTGAATTCATGTACAGTACACCAAAGTAAGGGATGGTAGCATTAGAAAATTGAACTACTTTGATTTCTACTATCTAGTGTTACTGGCAAGCATTCTTACAACAGATATAACCCAGATCACATAAGGATTAAATTGCCTCTACTTTTCTTTACATCCATCCATAAATGTATAATGATGCACTATGGTGTTTGTCCATTAGGGCTTTGGATCGCAGAATTGAGGACTTCTGCATGGAGAATTTTTTTAGACATGGTACTTACATTCTTCCCAATACACACTTCCTGAAAAGCAGGCTCAACTGACTGAAAAATCCAGAATGAGCTCATTTTCTTAAAAATATGTTTTAAGATTGTACTCCGAAAAGCAATTCCTAATAAGACCTGATTGCATGTTACACTTCCAACACCAGAGGGTGTGTGTGTGTGTGTGTGTGTGTGTCTATGTGCCTGTCTGTGTCTCTTTGAGATTTTCTGTTCTATTTGCCTCTCTATTTCCCAGGAAGTGCTCTGTACTGTATGGCGGCATTCATAAATACATTTCAAGTATTTTTGGAGCACCATCATTTTCATATTTCAGATAGGTGCACAAGAATCTCTGTGGAAGGGACTAATTTAAAAATGTTCTTTCTGGAGCACTGCAGACACCACAACATTGACAGTCTTACTTTGGGGAGTCCAATATAAGTGTGGTGTGGAAATTAGTAACATTATAATGATCTTGTCTAAGTTGCATTTACGGTTGAACTACATCCAACTACTGGGCCATCTGATCCTGGTTTACAAAAAGTGAAAAATATTCAATTTCCAAAAGGTAAACAACTTTATATAGTGCCCCTCATGCAGGGTAGTGTCCCAGAGCGCTTGACAGTGGCAGAGCATGACCCCACACCAGAGAGAGGAGAAGGTGATTATAGGCACTGTCGCAGAGAAAGGTCTTCAGGTGAGACCTGAAGATGGGGAAGCAAGGGGCAAGGCGGAGGGATAGAGGAAGAGTGGTCCAGAATTTCACCGCGTAGCGGCTGAAAGCGCGGTCGGCAATGGTAGAACGGAGGGTATGAGGAACATGCAGAAGGCCTGTCGAGTAGAGGCAGTGGGTTAGGGGGTAAGCAGGTCAGAGAGGTAGAGAAGTGCCAGGGCATGAAGGGATTTGAAAATGATTATGAGGATCTTGAAATTGATCCATTCAGCAATTGGGAGCCAGTGGAGCCTGGCTAGAAGTGGTGTGAGTTTAGTGTGGGTGAGTATGCAGGCATCAGAGTTTAGGATCAGCCGGACCCTGTCCATGGGGCAGCTGGGGAGACCGGTCAAGAGGGCATTTAAAAAGTTGCGTTGGGAGGTGACGAAAGCATGGACGAATATTTCGGCTGAGTCAGGGTTAAGGTACAGTCGGAGGCAGGCAATGTGGCGGAGGTGGAGGAAGGCAGACCTGGTCAGGGACCAGATGTGGGGAAGGAAGGACAGCTGCCGGTCGAACCTGACACCTAGGTTGCATACTGGTTCGGTAAGTCTGAGGGATAGGCTGGGAGGTTGAGGAGGTCAGAGCTGCAGGATAGAAGACATTTCCAGGAGCCAATAAGTATGACTTCCATCTTGTCAACATTTAGTTGTAGGAAGTTTTCGCTCATCCAGGCCCTGATGTCCACCAGACAAGCTGAGGGAACATTAACGGACCTGGAGTTGCAGCTGGGGGAGGAGAAGTAGATTTGTGTGTAATCCACATACATGTGGAAGTTTACCCCGTGTCTGCGGATGACATCCCCAAGGGGGAGCATATAGATGAGGAAGAGGAGGGAGCCAAGGATGGAGCCCTGGGGTACACCACAGGTGACTGCGGGGGGGGGGGGGGGCGGGAGGGGAAATCATTTGAAGAGATAAAGTGAAGGCGGTTTGTTAAGTAGGGCTCGAACCCGGCTGGTGCGGTCCCACTGAGGTGGGATCTAATTCTAACACTACAAAATTATTGGCTAATCACAGATTGTTATTGCAAATTGCCTTCAACATGAACTTGTCTTTTATTATCTGAGGTTGGCTTTTTTGACTTTTTTTTTGTTTTTAACCAACATTTTTGATCCTGCTATGATTTATCGCACACACTATAAGGAGATTTGTACATTGGCAGCTGGAGCAGCTGTATTTAATACTACATTCCTCTTCAAAAGCTGCAGCTTCAAGTGAAATGTGAATGGTTTGTTTAATTCAACACAGTTATAGTTTGATTTTCTGGATGAATATTCTTAACTGGGGAAATAATGCACCATTGACAAAATGCAGTAAGAATGTTAGATCTGTAGGTGTGACAGATTTTTCACGCTGTGACATACAAGCATGTAACAGTTTCTTTGTGCCCCTTCAAAAATGTTGCAATTCAATGGAACCTCGGTCTTTCGTTCATAACATTTGCTGTACCACGTATAAATGAGACAGGTGGCTTAACATTACCTGCTGCTCCTGTTTGGCCAGAGCCTGGTTCACTTGTTGTACAACCAATCTGATTGCAGAGGGTGACTGTAAAGTTGTAACTTCTGTATGGTTTCAGATCTGTCACTGTGTAGGCTTGCTGGTCAGCTGTCACTGTACGAAGCACCTGTGCGAGAAAGCAAGGTAGGAAATCTTGTAAGAAAAATTCAATTATATTATCTTTACTTAGTGTTAAATAAACAAATTAAAGTTGGATGCAACATTGTACCAAAGATTTGTGGATTTGTGGATTTGATTCCTATGCTGGAAAGGACTCATTATTCCTAGTCTAGGAATAACTACTCTCTGCTTTGTGCATTTGATTCCTATTCTGGAAAGGATTCATTATCCCTAATCAAGGAATGACTACTCTCTATTGTATTCTTAGAATAACCATTTGCTATATAGTCTATTCAATTCATTAGCAATGGATACTCAAAAGGATTTTCACCTGTTATGTTCTGATGAAACCATCTGACTATGTATAGGGCAACAATGAAAAGATTTATAAAACAAGTAAATATTGTTAGCTTTTTATTTAAATATTCTCTAGTTTCCATTTCAATATGTTATTATGTTGGACAGAAATTCAACCTATGTACTGTTGCTTCAGGATAACAATGTAAGGTTTAATACATTAGATTAGGTACCTATGAGATAATGTTTTGTTAGGAAAAGGAATTATTTACTTAATGGGACTCAACAATATGTGTACAGAGAGAAAAAAAATTGAACACTTCCTATTCTCTTGATGCTTAAACATATTGAATCAATTCTTGAAACTATTTTAGCTAGGACCAAGGTGAAAGTCTGATATTATGGCTAGTTTGTCTGATATAATATATGACAATAATAATCCTTGCTTTTGATATAGCGCCTTATCACGTCTTCAAGACGTCTCAAAGCACTTCCCAGAATATACTGAGCTGACTAATTGATAGTTTGACTAATGTTCTGCAAGACGTATGGTTTGCCTCTTTTACTTCATAGTTACTTTATGGTGGCCTCTTACGATAATGCCATCAATGTTGAGCTTTAATTATAGCTACTTGCTGCTAGTTAATTGTTTCTGACATGGCATGCTAGTTTTGCAAATGTAGATATATTCTTACATGTGTTTCCACCTTCCACCTGATGTAATGGAAACAGCGTGATCTCTTAAAACTGGAAGATAGCATAAGTTCTCAAGCTTTTAACAAAACTTGTATAATTTGACTTGCAACAATAACAACAACTTTCATTTATATAGCACCCTTCACGCAGGGTAGAGTCCCGGAGGGCTTGCACACAGTGATCTATTAAGCGAGTTATTTAAACTGTGAGGAAGGAAGCTGTAAACCTTTTTGTTTAATTGTTCATTGACAAAATTAGGGTCACCTGTAATTGGTGTCATATCCACACATTTACACATGCTTTTCACAATTTGCATAGTATAAATACGTTTGGTTTAACAATTTACAAAATATACCCAAATCTAATGATTGAACAATAGTGATCTAAAGCAAAAATCCTTAAATTTTGGGAACACCTGTAATTTGTATCCCTTGCCCACATTTACATGTGCTTCGCACAATTTGCACCGTAACAATGTACTTGGTTTACACAACTCACGTAATAGACCCAAAAGTAATGACTGAACAAAAACTATGTAAAAGCAAAAAGCTTCAAAGTAGATCTTACTCGTGAAACTACTGGAGGTGCAAACTCATTGGCGGTCTGCGCTTCTACAATGTTGATACTGTATCCGATCACTTCTCCTCTTGTTGAATTCTTACTAGGTTGCACCCAGGTTACATTTAGAGCCGATGATGAGAGTGGGGAAACTGATGGTGCAGGCATAAACAAAGGGGCTAAAAGGATAAAAGAAGAATCAACCAATACATCAAAGGATAAAAAAAAATATTTGCAGGAAGTACCTGTCCATTAACTAAACTAAAAGGAAAGGGAAATGTATACATTTGAATTACACCTTGTCATGGTCTGGAAATCTGACAGTAATGTTAAAGCTGACAGTAACTACATGAGATTTTCCATTTCATTTTCAACAATACACTCATCCTCTTTGACTTTTGCCCAATTTAAAACTAGTTTATATGTAAACTTGTCAATCTAACAATTTACTCGGGGGAACAAGTGTTCTTTGCCAAAGATTTTACAGTTCAGAAACCTGTCAAGAAAAGTCTAATAGATTTCTTTTCATGTTCATTGTTGCCTAAGTAGCATCTATTGAAGATCAATACTCTCCATTAATTGTAACTTTTCCAAATTGAAGGGTATTTATGATTAAAATAATACAACAGTAGTTATTTATTTTCTCATATTAAAACATCCCATCAAAATAGATATACATTGTATTTATAGACAAAGCTAAATTAAGGAGGCAAAGCTGAGCACCCATTAAATCCATATTGCTACAATTAATTAACCAAATAAAACATTGCAACATGGCATCTCTAAATCCATCTGTCTATTATGGTTATAATGTTTAACTTACCTATTGATAGAATTCTTGACGTTTATCTGTTCAGCTCTTTTATACCTGTACTTTTATCATTTTAATTCCCCCCCCCCCCGAAATCTGCTATCAACAATGCACAATATGGTTATAACCTCTGTACAAACCACTTTGTTAGTGAAACTAATTAATGCATTTTTATATGCCTGAGAGTAGCATGAAAAAAGACAAGGGTAAGAGATGTGGAATTTAAATACATCCCCATGAGGAAATGGGGATAATAGCAAGATCGAGACCACAATAGCTCAATATGGAGGTCAAAATTTACAAAAAAAAGTTAAATTAATTTGAAGAGATACAAGGAATCAAAATTCATGAGGAACGGCAAATATGCAAAAGCCAGTTGAGGATAATTAAAATGAGCATTAGAGGAAATTAGAAAAGCCTATTGTTAGCAACAGCGATGAGGTTCAAACTAAATATTTTAGCCATGTATATAAACTAGGTAAAGTCTTAAAGAACAGATCAGTCCTTTAAGGAATGGGCTCAGTGCAACTTCTGTGGGAGACCAGGAAATTAAATCATCATAAATTCTTCAAATCAGCTTTTTTGAGTGTATATTTCTCCAAGATCTTAATGTTCTTAGAACCCTGTTTTGTACCTTTTGGAAGAAATTCAAAACAGTGGTTTTTTGTAAGCAGGATATCTGGACTAGATGAAAAGCCGTCTAGTACAGTAATGAAAATAATGAAGGAAACTGTAGATAGAGGATCCAAGTGATATTTTCAAAGCCGTAGAATCTGGACAATGACTTAGAATGTTCCAAAAAGGAAAACATTATGAATAAGGGAATTATACCAGACAGTTTAGTTTCAGGAAAAGGGACATGTGCATGAGTATTTTTTAGGTTTATTAGGTGCTCAAAAAGGTCCTGTCTGACAAATGTATATTGATGGGTTGCATGGCCTTTTCTGATCTTTATGTCACATGTAGCAGGGAGTACAATATGTAAGGAATACAAATAATGTGAAGATTGGCATCCTGCAGTACTTTGGTGGATTATCCTTGAGGGTAAAGAAGAATACTTCTTCTAGTAAATGCTAATCTTCCCCTCTTAAGAAGGAAAATGAAAAGAACAGGGTGAATTGTACCCTATGTTTTGGATGGGATATGGTTAGTGAGACAAACAGCTTTTTTTATATTGTGAAGTATGCTTTCATAGAGCAAGATCACAAACATGAGTAATGTTTTAACAACTTCTAGGATTTCAACGGGATTTGTATTAGGAACAATGCCTAGTAGTTCGCGCCAAGAGGCATCAGAATGTGTTCTCACTTTCAGATAGTAACGTGTGCACACTACAAATACGTATAGCAAATATGTAGCTTTGTTCCTTCATAAAGTGCCAGTCTGGCTCAGTTGGCAACACTTTGGCCTTTGAATCTGAAGATTGTAGATTCAAAACCCTTATAAGGATTTTGATTGAACTCATTGCTGAGATACTCAATCCAGTACCGTGCTGGAGGGAGTGTTGGACTAACATACTCCCCCAACAGCCTCATCACCCAATGAAGCACAAGGCCATATGAACTGTGTAAGGGTTCAGGTTTGAATCCCAGTCTGCTCTGAGTTATCTGATTTCAGCTTGTGGGATCAGTGGGATAAGACACTATTATTGGCCACAATATTCCTGGGCTGGAGAAGTTTAGAAACATATTCAATAAACAATGATTAGGGTCTTCCAATGATTCAGAAACTAAAGAGCTTTTGCTGTAAAAAGAACATTTGTGCCTGGTATCCATTAAGATTTCTCTCACTGGTACTTTTACAAATTTACTTTTTATGAAACTGTTACCCACAAGGTACAATGATGTTCTAACCTTCAGCACATAGCAGTTTAATTAAATGCATTTTATGCATAATTCAGTGCATGTTATAAATGCTGTAAGTCGCAGCTTCAGCTGGATTATTTCCATTCTAAAATATTTATTTTAAATCATATAGAGGATTTTTGCTATTACTTATACAATTCTTGACAGAAGTTGAGGACAACTTTCGGTTCAATGACCCCTAGATTGTAGTCAATACTTTTATTATACCTTGAAATTAGCATGTGTTTAAAATAGAGAGAACCACCACCAGCTTTCTGATATCAGTGGACCTACACAAGTTGTGTCTTAGTCCGCAGATATTTCTACTTCATTATCTTCTAATGTTAATCTTGAATAATTAAAATTTTCTCCCTCAGTCAGAAACACAGGCAAATATGGAAATTATTTTCATACACACATGATGTCTCAGTCAATTACATTGATCAATTCAGTCTGGGTTTAGTTTGTTAGGTATTTCAAAAACAGAATCCACAATAACATGTTTTGCAGCAATATATTTTCTTTGGCCAATTACAGCAATAATGATTATTCGATAAGTTTAATGTCCTGTAAACTGCTTACTTCACAAATACAAAACACAAAATTTTAAAAAAGGAAAGAAATGGCAACAAGGTCAATATTCGCAAATGCAAATATGAGCTCACTTGTCGTAAATACGATCTTGTTAATCAAAGTGGAAGATGCATTATGTATATTTATATTACATTTTCTGTTGTTCTTATATGTAGACAATAGCTTCATCTATTATATCAAAGTACAAAGAATTTTACTAGCCATCAATTCCTTTGATTCATTGTTTCTGCTACAAATGCAGATCGAGAACAGTTAGAGTGAATTTGTTCTGTTATTAGGGGAGAATTAGAGAGTCAGAAAAAAAAATCCTTGGCATGCACAGTGTGAGGGCACGAGGTAACAAATGTCGCATATGCTGATTAAATGCGAAAGCTCAGGCTGTGTCATTTTATTAAAGGGTGATAGCTATTTATTGCTGGAGGCCAGTCTGAACAAAAGTAAGTTATTGCTATTATGCTACATTTTACCAAGAATTAGAAAGATAAATGCTATGAAGGAGCACTGTTTTCATTCTATAAGTTTCCTGATTCAGAGACTATGCAGAATGCTCCCTTTGGAATATGGTTCCTGATTGCTTCCCAAATATGTGATAATGAGGGGGGGGGCCTATTCTTATTTATTTTTGAATTTACTGTGCTGTGTGTCAGCTTAATATTTACAGATACATCACTGAATTAATTATCAAGTCAGCAATGTGGTATAAATTCACTGTGCCATGGAGTAATATAATGCGCGATTGTTTTCGCAGGCCCCTGATCTCGCAGTCCTTCAGATGATATCACAAACCGAGATCCTGTCTACTCTTCAAGTGGATGCCATGGCACTATTCAATAAAAGAGAAGGGAGTTTTGCTGGCCATCAATATCCCAGATAAAACTGGTCGTTCACATCTAGGCTGTTTGTGGACATTGCTGTGTGCAAATTGGATGCCTATTGGTGTTCACCTACAAAAAACACAGTAAAATCCTGTGAAATGCTTTGAGACGTCCCCCGACTCTCAAAACATCAACTTTATCAAGAACAGCCTACGAATCATTTGACCCACCAGGAAACACAGAGTTAGAGGTACGGATCAGGGAGCGTGGAGGACAGGTGTGGGGGGAAGGAGGGTGACCAAAGGCATGGTCGAAGAGGAGGGTCTTGAGATAGTTCTTGAAGGAGGCAAGGGAGGAGACGAACGGACTGCGGGATAGAGATCCAAAGGGTGGGGGCAGAGTGGCTGAAGGCCCGCCCGTCTATGGTGGGGCGGCTGAGTTGGGGGACTTGACGCAGGCCGGAGCCCATTGAGAAGAGGGAGCGGACAGGTTGGTAGGGGGTTAGGAGGTCGCAGAGGTAGGGAGGGAGCAAGACCGTGGAGGGCTTTGAAAGTGAGGACCAGGATCTTGTATCCTCTGTGATGGGAAACCAGTCGAGTTGGGCGAGGATGGGGGTGAAGGGTTACGGAGCCTGGTGTGGGAGGGGACATGGGCTGCAGCGTTCTGGATGATCTACAGCATATGGAGGGAAGAGTTGGAGAGGCCAACAAGCAGGGAGTTTGTGTAGTTGAGCCTGGATGTTATGAATGAGTGTATGAGGGTCTCAGCTGCTTGCAGTGTGAGACAGTGGCAGAGCTGGGCAACATTGCGGAGATGGGGGAAGGCAGAGCAGGTCATGGCACGGATGTGGGGTAGAAAGGATAGTTGAGGGTCAAACAAGACGCCAAGGTTCCGGACTGGCTCAGTGAGGTGGAGTGTGCATCCTTGGATGGTGATGCTTTCGGTGCCTGAGGTGAGGAGGCGCTGACAGGTGCCAATCAGATTGTGGATTTTGTGGGCGAGCAATTGAATGATCGCCTATGGGCACTTTTCCCATCAACCTTGTTCAATCAATGGCAAGCTATGCTGTTTTAGTTGGTTAGCAGTATCCCAACGGACACTCTGGGGTCCTAAGGCTTGGCTCTTGCCAACCCCTGCCTAATACTTTCCGGAATTAGGTAAGCAGGATGCGTCCCTCCAGGGAGAAAGTACGCATTCCATTCCAACAATCTATCTCTGGGATTTCAATGTGTAGGTGAGATGCATGGAAATCTCAGCTTGGTTTTGATCCTCTTAAGCATAGTGATGAGTTTCTGCATGCATCAGACACCCGGCTGATCAACAAGAAAAAAAGCTTATTCCCCACAGATCCCACATCATTTTCACTGGCTTTATACTCTACCAAACACATTCTGGAAGCATCCAACTACCCTCAGGAAACACCTTTGAGAAGACAAAGCCTTTAAAGTCTTGAGAAGACAAAGCCTTTCCACATGAGGGGAGTCCAGGGCAGTCAGTCCTTTCTAGGCAGATATATTTGGATTGAATGGGCTCCCCCACTTTGGATAAACCACCATCTGGTGCAGCAGTATGCCATACAGATTAGAAGTCATAGGTTCTGGTCTGTGCTGCGTTAGCTAATCTCAGCCAGAGCACTAATTAGGGTAAAAAAATTGGCATTATCTGACTTGGCGGGTTGATGGGTGGGTGGAGGGAGGGAAATCAACCAGGATTGATGATAACTTCTTTTTAAAGCTGAATGTGAAGTGAATGAGACTCGGTTGTATCTACATTGTTGAATAACCATGTTGGCTCTTAACGATTGAGTTCATACATCTGTCATTTGGACTTGGATTGGACTCAAAGTACTTTGCAACAACATATAGCACCCTTCACGTGGGGTAGAGTCCCGGAGAGCTTAATCAGAGTCTATCACAGGACATATTGTGAAGTATAGTGACTGTGTGTTTTGTGGGCATACATGACAGCCAATTTAAATGGAGATAGGGCTCCATTTAAATTTGTGTGCCATGTGCCCGAAAGAAAATAATAAGGGAAAAGAGATGGAGAAGAATATGCAGAAACAGGGGGGAAAAAAGAGGCAAATATAGGATAAAGAGACAAAAAGGAGAGAAGGCAGAGAGGACGAAGAAATAAATGAAGTACGTTTTCATGAGAAAATAAAAGGCATTGTACACAGTATAGTTCAGCTTGCTTGTTGCTTTTTCCGTAACCATATGAAAGGCATAGTATTTAATTTATTGCCTATTTTGCTCGTTGGTGTTTTTTCTTTGTGTTTGAATTTAGTTGATATTTTTAGCTAAGAAATGAACAAAACTGAAGCCAACTCTTTTATAAGTGACTGGTTTCTTATGCTGTAATTGAGGCACTGAAGAACCTTGAATACACTTCATCTCCTATGTCAGTGGATAATCTCTGCTGGAATGACCCTGGTTCCTGTACTGTGACAGGTCTGTCATTACATCACACAGTGTGATGTAGCTAGTTTTTTTCCATTTCATATTACCATTTCCTTAGCTAAAAATACAAGTTGCACAAGTTTTAACATGAATATTTAAAAGAGATGTATATCCTTGCAGGGGGTCTCATGATACTAAATTGTTGAACTATTGTCTTTATTTAAACATATAAATTTAATGTGCAATTCTTCTCTTGCCCTCTTTAAAGCTTATCAATACAATAAAGTACAGTATACTTACGTTACCAAAATATTGCTATTATGCTACTCAGTTATTAAATGAAGACATCTCGTCTTAAAGAAAATAATTTATGGTAATCTTTTAAGCTATATTGAGCAAATATTATATTATAATAATAATTATCCTTGCATTCAATATAGCGCCTTATCATGTCGTCAAGACATCTCAAAGTGCTTCATAGGATATACAGTAAAGTGATTTGACTGGGTGAATTTTGTGGGCGAAAGTCGGCAGCTAGTTGCGCACAACAATGTCCACAAACCGTCATGAAGTGAGCAACCAAATTTAGTTGGGGGATTGTTGGTCAGGACACCGGGAGAAACACTCTTCTCTTTTTGTTTAGTGCCATGGGATCTTTAACATCCACCTGAACAGGCAGACGGGGTCTCGATTTTTAACATCTCATCTGAAGTACGGCACCTTCAACAATGCAACACCTCCAGCACTGCACTGGAGTGTCAACTTAGACTACGTGATTCCAAGTCCTGATGTTATAATAATATTCCTTGCATTTGATATAGCACCTTATCACGTCTTCAAGACATCTCAAAGCACTTCACAGAATATACTGTAAAGTGAATTGACTGATTATTTTGTAAGCGAGACCCAGCAGCCCACAGCAGTGTCCCACAAGCGGTCATGGATTGAAGTGACCAATTTATTATTTTTTGTTTTTTAAGGAATTATTACCCCCGGAAAAACGATCCGCCAATTGACTAACAACCGGGTTCCTACTTACTGCTAGGTAAACAGAGGCGTGTGGAGCAAGGAAACTTGCCCTACATTTCACCCTGCCGGAATTGAACCCAGGTCTCTCGCTTGCAAGGGAGTGCTCTAACCACTGAGCTACAGGATTCCACGGTTGGGCTTGAACAAACACTCCCGCTCCCATTCCCGTTCTGCGGGCTCCGGCCTGCTTCACGTCTCCCACCTTGTCTGTCCCACCATTGACAGGCGGGCCTTCAGCCTCTCTGCCCCCACGCTCTGGAACTACGTTCCACAGTCCCTCGGCCTCGCCCCTTCCCATGCCTCCTCCAAGACCTGTCTCTTTGACCGTGTCTTTGGCCACCCTCCTACCCTCACCCTCCACCCCACCTGATCCCAACCACCAGCTCGGGTGCGGATTCCTGACTTCCAGAGTTCTGGGAGATCCTCCTGATGTAAAAGGCTTCACACAAATGTCATTTTTTGCTGCTGTTGAAGCCACAACCCTTCTGACTCAGAGGCGAGAGTGCTACCACTGAGCCAGATTGTCACATAATGAAGCAGATTATCACATCTATCAATACTAACCAGCTTCTGCAGTTCTTCCTGATGCCCAGGGTGAGTATGTACTGCCCGCCATGTTAACTGCAAACACTCTGAACTCATACTCTGCAAACGGTTCTAAATCACTGATGGTTGTGTTGGTCTGTGGTGGAGTTAGTGCATTTTCATTAGGAGATTCAATGACCAGATGAGGGTTCAGCCAGCCACTGTCTTGAAAAACTCGCCTTTCAGGAGGATTGCGGTTCCCATTTGCTTGCGAAGGGCCTTGCATGTAGAGTTCGTATCGGATGATTATTCCTAAGAAGAAATTTAGGTTACAGGAGAATCTTTTAAAATAATATTTCGACATTTACTCTCACATCCCTCCTCCTCCAAAAATGCAGACCCGTTACGTTAATGAGGTATTTACGGTTACACAGTTTGCAATGATAAATTCAAACTGTGGATTGTAGAATCCAGTTACATGAAACAATAACTTTACATTTGATATAGAGCCTTTCACGTAAGGAAAATGTCTCATAGTGCCTCACAGGATATACTGCACAGTAGAGTGACTGTGTATTTTTCTGGGCGAATGTGACAGCAATTTGTGCACAGCAATGTCCCACAAACAGAATTAAATGAATGACTTATGAAATATGTTGGAACAGAACAAACAAACAGTATCACATCTCTGGTGCATCACACACCCTGCAAGTTCCTCCCCAATAGATATTTGGAAATAGCAGGAATAGGTAGACAAATACTGAAAATAGTCAATTATATATCTGTTTTTTACAATGTACAGTTTGACTCAGTTGGTAGCATTTTCACCTCTTAGTCAGAAGGTTGTGGGTTAAAACCCCACATTGGAACTTTTCGTTCATATTCTCGGCTGATACTCCAGTTATGCTTCTTCAGGTGGACCTTAAAGATCCAGTGGTACTACTCGAAAAGAGAAGAGAGTTTCTCCCAGTATCCTGACCAACAATCTCTTCCCAAAAATTGGTAATTCACTTCATGACTGTTTGTGGGACATTGCTGCGTGCAAATTAGCTGCCATAAATCCTGTAAATCGCTTTGAAATGTTTGACAACATAAGGCGCTATATCAAAAGCAAGGATTATTACAAGATGGCATAATTAAAAATGAATGAGAACACAAGAAATAATGTTGCCAAGAGTATATGTAGTTTAGGTCATTGCTCCCATTTTATTCAAATGTTACTTACTGTAGCAGGTAAGGTATTATATTGCTGAAGCAGAGCAGAATAGTTTGAATATTTTACAGGTCTCCCCATCTCTCATTTGAAGAAGACAGTAGAAATTCACACCTCTCTCCAAATACAACATAGGGGATTATCATGCTGCTGTAATTATATCACTTGTCACACCTCATTTCACGTGCACAATAGGGGAAGATGTTTGCACAAGGTTTCTTTTCACTTGCACATAAATAGACCTTATGGAGGGTTCACATTTTCTTGTAAGTTTTTCAATTCATACACATCGAATTTGCATTCATTAAGTGGCATGTAAAAAAAATGAGCAGCACAGAAATTAATGTGCAAAGGCTTGAGGTGTTATTTTCCGTAGTGGGAAATTTTTGAATTGATCATGTTTATATTTAAACAGATTAAATTGCAACTGAGTTCAGAATACTGGTCTCGGGATGCCACCCTTCATTATTCTAAATATGAACTGCATGTCTTTGAGGCTTATTATTCCCAAACCTCCCTAACTACATGAGCAATATCCCTTAACCGTGTACCGCAAACACTTTTAACAAAGTATGAATCTGGATTATTTGTTTATTTTATCAATTCCCCAACTCATTCACAAAAGCACCTTTGAATGGTTCACTAATACTTCTACCAAACATCCCTGGGTAAGAAGTTCTAATCCTGAAAATAGCTCTGAAGCCAATTTCAGAGCAGACCTAAGAAAAAACGGTGATACAACAACAACAACAACAAGATTCCATTTACAAAGCGCCTTTCACGTCAGGAGGACGTCCCAAGGCGCTGCACAGTTGGGTCATGACCCGAGCAGGGGGGAAATGGTCAGGGTGAGGGGAGGGAAGGGAGGGAGCGAGGAGGGGGGAAATGGTCAGGGTGAGGGGAGGGAAGGGAGGGAGCGAGGAGGGGGAAGAGAGTCGAGAGGGGAGCTGAAGGCACGGTCAAAGAGAAAGGTTTTGAGACCGGCCTTGAAGGAGGAAAGGGAGGAAGCAAGGCGAAGGCACTGGGGGATGGAGTTCCAGAGCCTGGGGGCTGAGAGGCTGAAGGCCCGACCACCGATGGTAGGGCGGTTGGGGCGGGGGATGTGGAGCAGACCGGAGCCAGAGGAACGGAGGGTATGGGCAGGTAGGTAGGGGGATAGAAGGTTGGAGAGGTAGGAGGGAGAAAGGCCGTGAATGGCCTTGTAGGTGAGGATGAGGATCTTGAAATCAATCTTGAAATCTTGATACTGCAGGTTGAAGAATGATGAGGATTGAGCTGTGCGCTTTACAGAAAATCAACTAATAAAGCAGTAATAATAATAATAATCCTTGCATTTGATATAGCACTTTTCACGTCTTCTAGACGTCTCAAAGCGCTTCACAGAATATACTGTAAAGTGAATTGACTGAATATTTGTGAGCGAAACCCGGCAGCCAATTGTGCACAGCAGTGTCCCACAAACAGTCGTGGATTGAGTGATCAAATTATTATTGTTTTTTTTCTTGAGGGATTATTATGTCTCTTAGGAACCTTGTAAGAACCTTGACACCAACCAGAAGATCACGGGTGAGAGTTTATCATTCCAACTGGCTTGCCTTGGTTTCAGAAGCTATCAGCTTTTAGTGTGTTGCTGGATAAAGCTACCATAGGGAACTAACCTGCTGCAGCAGTTAGGGTGAAAATAATGACGTAAAACAGCTCACAATACTGGAATAGATTCCTCTTGATGGTCAATTACAGAGATCAACAGTAATTAGGGAGACATGCTCAACCCAGACACATTACACATTCTGGCCCTCTGGTTAATGGTTGGGTGACCAGTGTAATTGACAGGCAAATGGATTGTATGTGCATGTGTGTGGGGGGAGGGGGACAGGAGAAAAAATCACTACTTTTCAAATGAGAAATACATGTGATATGGCTAAAGAAAGGGTGTTAGGATCAGTCAACATTTTAGATTTCTAAACTTGAAGTCTTAAAACATAGTCTATCTTATTTGACAATCCACATTTGAAGTTTCAACTCTGGATAGGTTTCTCAAGTTTGGAGGTGGATTTGGTGAGGAACCAGCAAGGATTCTGGATTCAGATTTTTAACACCTCAAAGAAAGACTGTTGGCAAAACTTCTGCAGGTTTGCTGTCTGGCAGGAAGTTGGAATTTGTGTGGAAAAGTGGACTTTCCACCAAGTCTATATCATTCTAAATCACATATATTCTATCTTTATTTGGGTGGAATCTTTCTCTCTGCAGGATTGGAAACCCACAAGTTCAGTTAATTGTAAAGGAATGGATCCAACCTCATCCCTAATTGCCCACCACAACTAAAACCTCTCAGGCAGATGGAATTTAGATGACTGTGTAAATGTAAGAGCCATAACCCAGGCCAGAAATTCCTTTGTTTGTTAAAAATCACATAAAGTCTGTTTATGTCATCTCACAGAGCCAGTTTTTTTCTTAAACTAGTGACACACCAAACAAAAGATCAGCTAACTCACCAATTTGGCTTCCATGTCTCGCATACAAAATACTTCTGTGAAGCTCTTGGAGACAACTCCTGGCTATGCCAAAAGGATTTATTATTATTATAATAAAGGCCAGACATTGGACTTGTGATTTTTTGGATCGTTTTAGTTTAGTACCATGGTTAGCCATCGAGAGACCTGTGGAACTATATAATTCTCTTTTATTCAGCTGAGAATTGCTTCAGAGTAGATTTAATAATTTGCTCAAACCTTTGCCTAATTGATCTCATTATACAGACCTCAACGTTTCTATTCAAGTTAAGGTCATTAAGGTATATTTCATTAAAATGTTTTAAAAAATCACAATAATGTCTGGAGACTTACCATTAGGATGGACAGGAGCAGTCCATTCAACAAAGAGCATTGTGGCACTGAGAGTGCTGATGACCGGTGGTGCTTGTCCTTTGGGTGGAGCCTGTTCAGTTATTTCCACCACAGCATTGCTTTCGGCACAGCCCCCGGTGGTACATGCCTGGACAGTGAATGTGTAGTTTGTAAAAGGAGCCAAATCATTCAGAGTCACAAGTGTTTCCAGACCTTCATAATGCATCTGATCCAAGTGGCTGCCTGAAGTTGTAGATCTTAATATGTATCTCTCAATGGGCCCAGAAGCATTGGATGGAGTTGTCCAATTGAAGGAAATTGACTGTGGTCCCACATATCCAAAGCGACTCAAATTAAGCAATCCATTAGGAAGGCCAGCTTCTGTACGATAGCTTGCTACACTGCTTCTTGTGCTGCCGTGGACATTGCTTGCCACAATGTAATATGAGTAGAGCGTGTAAGGTGTCAAACCAGTATCGTTGAAGTTTTGGGAACCTTTATAACAAAATAAAGCCTGGGAATCGATTATTTGCAATAACTTGAGATACATAAAACAAAACCGTTGAAATTCCTTTCTCACTGAATAGGTGCAAATTCTCATTTGTCTGTACCAATATTTACTCTTGAAAAGATTTTTTTTATTCCAATGTACAGCAAAATTAAAAATAAACCGTAAACTGTTATCACAAAGCCTGCAGACCTTGTCTAATAATGAATTGGACACAAGAATGAGAAAGGTCAACAGGAATAAGATGGGATAAGTTTATAAATATCTAATAACCTCTCGCTGGCAAACATTCCATTGTATTAAACAATCATCACCAATCAAGCGCTCATTTTTTGTTTTATATTCAATTTGGTTTATTCCCATCTAGTAAAGTAGCAAGTGACTGTTAAAAGAAAACTATCACGGAAAACTGTGGTAGCTGGAAATCCACTACTAGTTAATCAGCATCGGAACAAGAAAGATAAGCATATACGTCATCAGGTAACAGATAAATGCTCAGCTGGTTCAATCACCTGAGATGTGGGACCTCCAGGTTCTGGATTTAGAATAGGTATAGTTAAAGTGGATCTCTTCAATGCCAATGAAATGAGTTTGAAAAAATAAAAATATCCCTTAGGTCCAGGAAGGTAGAGAACATTTAAGGTCCATTCCAAGACCTTCCTCTTTTACTGCGCCTGAGGTCATCTTTCTCCTCCCCAGCCCCACTCAGCTCCAACCCCCAGTTTGGCTGCCAAGCCAGGAATGACAAGCACCTTGGGACATCCTCCCAACATGAAAGGCGCTATGTAAATATAAATCCGGATTGCATAAAATCCCAGTTTTTATTTTTTCACCTTATAACGTGGCTGCAATCGGCACTCAGTGCTTTCGCATTCACTGTGCACATATAACCACCTCACAGAACACAGAAAGTGACGGCAACGATGACCTGAGGAGTCGGTCATTTATTAGCTCGAGTAAGCGAACCAGCTGTCTTTAGAAATCATTAGATAAGCAAATGTCAGGATCCACACTATAACCAGTGTTATAATAAAGTGCATTTATGTGAGGTCTATACCCCAATACATTAGGCATTTCAAACAACGTACATTGCTCAAGACAGACAATGTTGCAGTGGAGCGTCCTTAAATGCACGTTGGCCACTGTGGTGTAACTTTATCAGAGTAGTCATGCAGAGAGTTACCACAATGGCAAACATATGTTTGATCCTCACTGAGCTCCCAAGCTCAGACACATCAACGTGAGGAGCCAGTGAGAAGAGATCATCATAAGCAGTTCAATCTGCCGCCCTAGGAAAAACTTCAACGTGCCACCCCCCACCCCCTTAAAAGTTCCATAGCTTTAACTTAAGAGAGATGAATTTACCATAAAATGCCTACAACATAGTAATAATCCTTGCACTTGATCGAATGCCTTATCATATTGTTGAGATGTCTCAAAGCATACGCTTCACAGAATATATTGTAAAGAGAATTGACTGTATTTTATGGCTAAACATGAACATGCAAAAACTGAAGTGTTTGGGGGACCTGAACAATCCAGCAAGTACAGCCACAACACTGACAGTTTGCCTCCAGCTCACAGCACTCACCAGAGCCCTGCTGCCCAGTTCACTTTGCTTAGCTACATTCAGCAATCTAAAGCAGGAGTTTATTCTGTCTATATCAGTGAGATTGGTAGACTGTTTTAGATTGAGTAATTGAATCATAAAACAATCATTTTATTTACGTCTCAATTTCACCAGTCAAGCATTCAAAAAAAATGTTTCTCCTATTGCTAGAGCGGCCCCTGGTGGCAGCTTCTCCATGACCCCCCCAGCTAGAAATAAAATCATAGGGGGTGAAAGAATTATCTTTTACACAGACACTTGCGGCTGTTTCAGATCTACACAGACGGAGGCCATCAATTAGTCTGCAGTCTAAGGAAAGAAGAGAAAAAAGATAAAGGAAGTGTGAATTAAATTAAAATAATATTTTCAATTATTTGGGAATTGACATAGTGAAGTAAAATTCCATTTAGTGTCCATACTCAGCGCTGGGCAGCTGGAGTGGAAATCTCACAAGTGGCTGAAGTCACCCAGGCCATGTGCAAAATGCAGAACAGATTTTTTTTTACCAGTTAACTGTTAAGAGATTTTTTTTAACGGTTAAGAGTTAACTCTTAGAAATTCACCTACCAAAACTGAGCCAAGTTTATTGTGTTCTTTGCTTCTTTATTAGACATTGCAAAAGTAAAATTTATTTGATTCCACAGAAGAGAGACAAATAAGACAATGAGAGAGAAAGACAGAGCTTACCAAATGGATGACGATCTTTCATCACATGAATTTCTTCTCCATTTCTGTACAACGTGTACATGAGAGCATTAGTGTTTGGTGAATCGGGTGGACCCCAGGATAAGTCAATCGTGGTGGAACTCACAATGTGGCCTGTTGGTGATGGCTGCTGAGTTGGAGCTGGTTGGATTGAAAAAATGATGTTTAGCACCTTTTAAAGAGATGAAACATGGATAGAAATCTACAGCACGTATTTGAGATATTCTTTGCCTATTCAGAAAACAGAACTTTTATGTCACCGTACTAACAGACCGCAAGTCTAATTTGCCCCCTCCCTCCCTCCTCACCTTTAAAGCCTGCTTTAAGCCCTTTCTTTTCAACTGCACTTTTGGTCACCTCCCCATCCTCCCTTCCCTTAGCTCCCCTGACCCCCAGTTTGGGCTCCCAGTCGGCTTTGTGAAGCACTTTGAGACATCCTCTCGACATGAAAGGTTCTCTATCAATGTGAAATTATTGTTGTTGTTGTAATCATCTTCGGCCAACTTCAGAAGAGCACATCAGCTTTTTCAAGTGGCGTTTGCTTTCTGTGTGCTCGTGGCCCTGAAGCTGAATCGTTGTCCAGCTTGCACTTGCCACTTTCAAAGCCTAATTGTTTTCTCACAGTTGGCAGTCAGCAAAGGTGTTTTATTGACCATCCCTGAACTGTGCTGAAAGTTTGCTATTCAGAGGGGAACATCAAGACACTCAAAAATAGGTTTCATCCAACGTACCCTCCAACCTCCAGCAGAATAAGAACATAAGAACATAAGAATTAGGAGCAGGAGTAGGCCATTCGGCCCTTCGTGCCTGCTCCGCCATTCAATAAGATCATGGCTGATCTTCTCACCTAACTCTGATTACCTGCCCTATCCCCATATCCCCTAATCCCTCTATTTTTCAAGAATCTCTCAGATGAATCTGCATGATTTGACGGTATACAATACGACTCAAACTGATTTCCATATTGCTGTGCATAAAACACAAATTATCTCTCCACATAAATGACAAAAAAAAACAGATCTGTCTGATGGGATTATGATAAGAAATAGTGTATAATTTATTTCCTGTCTAATTTTATGCCCTGTACACAAGTGGGATTGAATTGAACTGTGGCGTCTTCTATTCCAGTATGATTTGCATGGATGAAAATAATCAAAGGCACTGTAAAAGCAAGTAGAGTCACAGAATGTCCTCTGAGGCAGAGTGCACAACAGCTTGTAGTCAGCAGGGGCAAGATAAAGAGAGTAAGGTGAGGGGAAAGAATCAGTGGACAAAGAAAAATTGCAGATGGCATAGAAAAGATATTTAGAGAAAAGACACATCAGAGTTGAAAATGGGAGATGTGCAATACACGTTGAATGAGAACTGGCACAGAGAAATTAGAAAGAAAACTAGACTTGGCAAATTTAACAGAGGAGAGGAAGAAACGTGCAAGACTTATATAATAATAATCCTTGTATTTGATTATAGTGCCTTATCACGTCGTTTGGACTTCTCAAAATGCTTCACAGGATTTATTGTAAAGTATAGTGACTATGTATTTTGTAGGCGAATGGTTTAATCTAAGGGCAATTTTAAAAATGACTCATTAGAAAGTGAATTGTTTGATCTGCTGATCTACCTTACCCAGCTTCGCCATTACATCTCCCCTCAGGCCACCAATCCCCTCATCCAAGCCTTTATTACATCCAGGCTTGACTACACCAACTCTCTGTTCGCCAGACTCCCAAGCTCATCCACATAAGCTGCAGACGATCCAGAACTCTGCAGCCCATGTCCCCCATCCAGAATGCCCAGCAGAGAATGTTCAAGATCTCCATTCTCACGTTTAAATCCCTCCATGGTCTTGCCACACTGTACCTCTACTACCTCCTTCGACCACATTGACCCAGGCGCTTCCTTCACTCAGTGAACACTGACCAGCTTCATGTTCCCCACCTTATCCGCCCACCATCAGCGGGAGGAGTTTCAGCCATTCTACCTCTGCTCTATGGAACTCCATCCCAAAGTCCCTCCAGCATGTTTCCTTTCTCCGCTCACTCAAGGCACGTCTCAAAACATATCTCTTTGAGCATGTTTGAGATAATCTTATCTTATCGTAACCCCCCTCAACTGCCCCCCCCACCCCAATTCCCCTTTCTCCCCAGTTCAGCAGCACTCTCAAGCATTTGAGATGTCCTCCTGAATTGAAAGGTGCTATATAAATTCTATTGTCTTGCTGAATGTAGCCATATCTTTTACAAACAAACCTAATGCTATTTCCTTACAATTGACCACTGAATACATGGAAGGATGAATTTGCACAAAGTACTTCAGCATTCAAATTCTGAACTATTGCCTCCAAAATGTAAGTGTAAGTAAGTGCATGAAACCTTTTTTTTTAAAAATCAGTAACTGCAAGAGTAGGGGATTTATATACAGTTTATGGCAATGCTAAAATACATACGTACTCAGTGAACCTATAGGTCTAGATATTGAAAAAGACTAATAATCCCGAAGATATTGTAGTCTTTTTTCTGAGTAACTCACCCCTTTTTGTCCTTGGAAAATATTTACTGCATAAAGTGAGGAAGCAATGAGGAAAAGATAAAAGATAAAATAGTTACTCACTGTTACTGCAACCAAACGTGTTGTCAACATCCAAGTGGCTGGTGCCGGGAACACACACATCGCATTTCAAACCAATTACAAACAGCTTGCAGAAACACTGTCCATTTGTTTGGTGGCAGGTGCCATTAACACTGCCTGCAGGATTGCAATTGCATGGCTGACAGCTGCAAAGAAACAGAAAAGAGATATAATCACTTCAGTGTGCCATATAACCTGAAAATTATCCCTGTAGCTTTGCTGGGCAATTAGTAATGTTTCATAATTTAATGGTATTTTCATCGAATAGCAAACAGTATGATGAAACACAAACCATTTTAATTTTAAATTTATTTTTCGTGTGCTTTTAGGAATCATTCATTTTGGTGGTCTGTCCATCTGCGAAATAAAGATATTAATGTTTAGAAATGGAGAAGAAAATGGCTTTGGGGGGCACGTCCCAAATCCAGAAAAACTTCCTCCTATGATAAAACATATGGGGAAAGAAGTAATATCCTGTACTATTATTGTTAAAGATGCAAGTCCAAAAGCTCAACAGAGAGAGATGTTGTGACACCTGATATAGACATGCATTGTTTAACAAAATAAAGCTGAATTGATAGCGTCCAGTATCACATTATTTCAGTGCTTATTCCCTCTTTCCTGGAAGGCCAGAAAAGCTATGTCCACTGAAAAATGGGGTAGAGAGAAGAATAAGACTAATTATGTTATGTTGCAGCAAAAATGTTTTCTTAGCACAGAATATTGCATAAATCTACTTTTTCTGCAAGCTGCATAGTATCAAATTAAGGCCACCAACTGTTTTTACACACACCGAAATTCATCATACATTTGAGTGTACTGTTGTAACATTTACTACCACAACAGGTGTCTGTGTATTCACTATGTTCCTAAAGTGCTTGAAATACATTGAACCACACTTATTTCCTCAATTGTTGACAAAACTGAGAAATACAACGACACCATAAATGTGGTGTGATATTACAATGGACAGTACAATGGTTGTGGATTACACCATTCGGTAAATAAATTGAAAAACTGAAATTTAAGCATAAAATGGATTGGAATGCAATTTATTCAATACAATACATCTTTACATTTTAAAAAAAATTATATAGTGGCTTTCATGTCAAGAAAATACTCAACACCGCTAGCTGGGTACCAGAGTTGGGGGTGGGAGCCAAATGGGGTGGGCAAGGGAGAGAGTGTGGTCAAAGAGGTAAGTCTTGAGACGGACCTTAAATGAGGTGAGGGAGGGTGCAAAATCTCTTTTCTGGGAAATTGAGAATAAATTTGAAGGATTATGAGCTCAACCTTCAGTCTTGTCCTTCAGTCTTCCCATCTACCCAGTATCTTAGCAAGAGAAGGAAATTATGGATCTATTCCTGCTTAAACAAACATGAACTCACAACTGCATCAAATAATCAACTGCTAGTGAATGAACAGATGTAGATGTAGATTTCGTCATTTAGACATTTGGGTTACAAGACAAAGTCAAGTATCTACTTGTGATGTGCAGCAAACATCAACCAGTGAACGCCATTGAATGTACAGCATCGGTAGTGTTTCATATTTCAGTAACTAAAGAGCTACAGCTTTCTGACAAGGTATGATAAGTAGTACATCAATTAATAGTCACTGAGCCAATCATATTTGTAAAGCATTTTTAGACTGTGTACTAGTATACACACAGGTATCTGAGCATACTGTTAAAATAAATCTTGCAGTTTTTTAAAAAAATCATAAATGTTGTCATTTGAAATTACAATGAAACCTAATGGCTAAAGGAATATAACACGTATGCTTTTTTTTAACATCACTCAGGAATCAAAAATTATCATCACAACATGTCATCAGGAAAATGAGAGTGATCTTTCTGCAGTTATAATAGAGCTTCAAAAACACTCAATGTTGTTTTTGCAATTACTTTTCAAGACAATGTCACTGCTATATTAAAACAAAGAAATCTTATTACATTTACTGTCTAGGTGAAAAGCATACAGAGCAATCAGTTTAAAGAGTTCGTTTTTTTTAATTCTTATACAACGGATTCACCCCCAATAGATGTTGTAAATGGTGATCTGTCATGACTTGAATGTATTAGTTGTTTGTGAAGTTCTCTAACCATTTCATCTATGTAATCAGTTATTAGTCATGCTGTTATTTGGAAAAGAGGCATCTAACCAGGCAGTGAATTTTACTGCACAGTATGAGAACACACATTAGACATGCTGACCAGAAAACACACTGCATTAACATACCCAATTTGTGTTTCTACATTAAAAAACGATAGGAATGCCCATTGGCCAACACAACACTCTATTGACCAGGGCAATGTACTGTGCACAGCGACTCCCTGTTGCTCTAAGTGAGAGTTAATTTCATAGCAAGGAAAATAAAATTCTGCTTCAAACTGAATTAATCATTACTATAGAGAGAAGGAATGCAAATATATCTAAAAAGTGAAAGTGAGGCTTATGAATATTCTGTTTATCTGAAGAGCCATTTTTGTGACCTTGGGTACATTATGGATAGACTTTTTTTTTACATTAAACTGAAGAGCCACAGTGTATCTACAGATGCAAAGCATGACGAAAGTTGGGAGCTGATTGCTACTGAATCAAAAAAAACTACTTGCCTTCCAGCTCCTTGGTTGAAACTGAAATAATGGTTCTTGCAGAGGTTGCAGTGTTTTCCAGTCACTGAAGGATCTCGACAAACACATTGTCCTGTGAAACCATCACAACTCTGGTGTTTTGATCCTATTGGATGGCACTCGCATGGTAAACAACCCGTGGAATTGCCTGAGGGAAGCTTAAAACCTAAAATTGCATTGTGGAAATAATTTACAACAAGTCACTGAATTATAAGTACAGTATAAATGCAGTTAGGTTTGACAATTGTATTAGAAATGGATTCACCAAGGTAGTCATTAACCTTAATAAGGTTTTATGGCACAATCTATTTTAATTTTAATATGGGTAATTGGTGATATACTGATGCACTTCAATGCTAGAGGCCAGATGCAGAATTGCGCTTAAGATTCCTTCTCAAACAAGCGTTGTATTTCAACTGAGAGACCCGGGAAGTCACCAAGCAACATCAGATATTTCCACAATTACACAATTGTTGTGTAAGACATCCTGGGCTATTTTTGTGCAGCACCTAACAGCTTAGGCAGGTGCCTGAGAACAATCCCTTGCCTGCTCTTTTGGCTGGGAACCAATTGATGGCACACCTATAGCCTAAAGGAGGGGAAGAAATCATAATAATGGGAGGTTGCCCACAGTCATATTTTAGATTTTGTGCATGTAGTTTACTTCTTGCTTGCAAAATGACTTTAAATAGAAGGTATCTTCAGCGCTGAACTCAACTAAAATACAAAGTTCCCATTTCACATGTACCAATTTGTAAATCAAAATGTTTTTTTTAAGTAACTTGACATTAGCAGAAGCATTAAAAACTAGCTTCAACAGAGAAGAGTTTGATATCCTTTGTGATTTCTACTCAATACTTCGATTAATAATAATAATCCTTACATTTGGTACAGAGCCTTTCGAGAAGACTTCCCAAAGTGTTTCACAGGATACATTGTAAAGTACAGTGTCTATGCGTTTTGCGGTCAACAACAACAACAACAACAAGATTCCATTTATAAAGCGCCTTTCACATCAGGAGGACGTCCCAAGGCGCTGCACAGTTGGGTCATGACCCGAGCAGGGGGAAATGGTCAGGGTGAGGGGAGGGAAGGGAGGGAGCGAGGAGGGGGAAGAGAGTCGAGAGGGGAGCTCAAGGCACGGTCAAAGAGAAAGGTTTTGAGACCGGCCTTGAAGGAGGAAAGGGAGGAAGCGGCGAAGGCACTGGGGGATGGAGTTCCAGAGCCTGGGGGCTGAGAGGCTGAAGGCCCGACCACCGATGGTAGGGCGATTGGGGCGGGGGACGTGGAGCAGACTGGAGCCGGAGGAACGGAGGGTACGGGCAGGTAAGTAGGGGGATAGTAGGTTGGAGAGGTAGGAGGGAGCGAGGCCGTGAATGGCCTTGTAGGTGAGGATGAGGATCTTGAAATCAATCCTCTGGGGGATGGGGAGCCAGTGGAGGCGAGCGAGGGTGGGAGTGATGTGGTCCCGAAGCCTGGTGCGGGACAGTACACGAGCTGCAGAGTTCTGAATGACCTGCAGCTTGTGGAGGGAGGTGCCGGGAAGGCCGGCGAGGAGAGAGTTCCCGTAGTCCAGCCTTGAACTCAAACACAGCAGCCTATTTTGTAAACAGCAATTTCCTACAAACAGTCTTGAAGTGAATGACCTTTTTTTATTATTTGGGAGATTGTTAGCCAGGATACTGGAAGAATCTCCCTTCACTTTTTGAATAGTGCTGTGAGTTCTTTAAGGTCCACCTGAACAGACAGACAAGGCGTCGGTTTAATTTCTCATCCGAAGGACAGCACCTCCATCAATGCCGCACACCCCCAGCACTGCACTGGAGTGCAGTTTAGACTATATAAGTTCTAAGTCCTGACATGGAGCTTGAAACCACAACTTTCAAAGGCGAGAGTACTATCAATTGAGCCAGGCAGACACACAGATTGAAAAATATTGAAACAAGATCAAATGTAGCTGTGATGGATCAAGCATGATCAAGACCAACTACTTAAATTAACATATGTAGTACAAGGTACCCACTCAACACCCCCAAATCTTAGCAGTTTAGGAAGGAGAAAATTAAGGAACAGTGATGAGGAGGAGAACCATATAATGGGGAAACATTTGCAAAACTTCCTTGAGCTGTTCCTTGTGTCAATTAGAGCCAGAAAGTAGGAAACAGTACAAAATTTGTGATTAAAAGTGGACTTTAATTATTGACAGTATTAAAACTGTTCCCCAAAGCCTATGCTCCACAAAATCCACTCTTCCCTCTAATCTTACGGGTTAAAAAAATGCAGGAAATTGACTTTATTGAGTCAAAATCCTTTGTGCAGTCTCTTGCCAACAAGAGAACAAAAGAGAGGAGGACTGACTACTAGGCCCAGACCTATAGTCACTACCTCCACAGAACTGCTAAAAGCACCAATGTAATGGGACACAAGGGTCCACAATATTAATACCAGGTTTGACTACTTGTTCTGCATAGAAGCTGCCCCTTACTCCGAGATTCTTCTGGGTTGCGAATGCTGTTATTTGTGACTGGTTTGGGATGTGAAATATGCTGTATAGTTGTGTATGGTGCCAATGTGTAACGGGAAGCTGGGGAATGCTTAGAGCAAAGGTGAAAATGATTCCATGAAAGGGAATAAATAAAGTGCCCTCATCTCAGCCTACACTTCTGTCTCTGTCTATTATTTGTACCCAATGAAATGGACCCTACTCTGAGGCTGTAATGCAATACCACATGCATCCATTCAAAGGTCCCTCTTTAAAATCATAAAGACCATATAATAAATCAATTGCTTTTCTCAGTCACCGTAAGCCATGCTCCTGCAAATGCTAAATGTCATTGTTCTTAACCATTTTTTGCAAAGGTAAGCTTAGATATATGACATACACTAAATTGCAGCTTAGCTCCAAGCAAGTGAGAATTTCTGTACAATCATTTCAGTCGTTTTTTCACACAGAATTGCTGCTCGAATCATATTTTTAAAATGAAATGTATAGACTAATCTAGCAGTAATTCATGAATTAAGGGAACAATCAGCTGGGATGACTGTCAAGCTCTTATTCTTGCTAAATCTACTTGGTTTATTTAGACATGAATGTTCCGATAAAGCATTTTTTCTGAATGGAAGTGATCGGAAACTGGCCCAAATGTTGTAATGGAAGAATAATAAAAATTCTTTCTCGTTGCTGCATTTTCACTCTGCAATTATACTGACTGGGACAAGCTGTAAAGAGAATCACAAATTTTCTTCAGGATCAAATTGTCATTTATTTTATCAGCGAAAAAGACTTGAATTAAATCCCCAATTAATTTAACAGTCATAAATACAAACCGATTACTCTTCGGGAATTAAATTTTGTCCTGATGAAATTTTAAGGAATAGGCAATTAACTGCACACTCTGACATACCAATGAAATGATTCTGCTGTAAAGAAGTACTATATTAGTCATTATTATGGCAATTTTTACTGGTGACCTATTATTTAACTCTTATCTATATAAATTACATTTTAAATTCAATCATATACAACAGAAAATTGTTTTACATATTTCCACAGTATCAGACTGCAGATAGTACAAAGGTGATTCCTGTTACTGGACTGTTGTAACTGATAGTACTCACACTGTGGGCTTTTCAATCTTGAAAGTATTATTGTTTTTCAAAACTAAACAAACTAAATATACAATTCAGTTCCATATTCTGGGAAGCGCTTTGAGACATCTCAACGGCTATATCAAATGCAAGGATTATTATTATTTTAAGCTAGTTTTTAATTTTTTATTTGAAAAGCTGGGGAACTGAAATTAATCAATGGAATGGAAATTGAATCCTACATTTTTGTCAACACCATAGAAGAAACCTCTTCTGGGTAGAAAGACTTCTTCTCTGCATTCTACCTGGACCTTGGGCCATCCAATGACTTCATTACTATTAAGAAAACCAGGTCGTAACATAAAATGTGCGGTTTCATAATGGATTCAACGTGATAATGGCATTGACTTTGTTCTGCCACATCACAATTTCACTGGCTGATCATCAACGGTCACGTCACAACCTCATCACGCCTTGTTGCATCAAAAGATTTCAGACCATGTCACAAGTTAAGTGTAATAACTGATTTTGTAAATTAGCAAAGAGGCTATTTCTGCCAGGAAGGAACCACACATAGCCATAATAAAAATTTAATCTGGAGGACTGTTTGTCAAGACACAAAGAAAAACTCTTTTCAAATAGGGTCATTTGATCTTTGCTGCCCTACTGAAGAGCAGGTAGGCAAGACTTTGGTTTAACGATTATATTGTGTATAGCACCTAATTCAGCACTCCACCTCAGTACTGTAGTTACTCCAAAGCCAATAAAATGGTCGTAATTCTGGTGCATACTATCATTAGGCTTGAACCAACAACCTTTTGACTCAATGTTGAGAATGCTGCCTACTGAGCCAAACTGATGAGTTATTCACCAATAAAGAAATAAGCAAAATGATAATTATAAAGGAACGAGATATTACAATGGACCTAGACATCCGTGTAGGTAATGACCTCCAGATGCAAATGACAAAACTCGTACAAGAAAAGGAGAATACTTTGACAATCTAGCAATTTCAGTCTTTGTTAATTGACAAGTGCCTTACCACGGCATCTGACCATCTTTTACTCCAAACCCAATAAGATGTTCTTGATTCTGGACATTCCAGAGTTGAGAGGAAATATGTTATATGTGGTGGCAACATAAAACTGTGTTAGAAAAATAAATTACTAATTATTGTAGCCAAAGACTATGAAACCCAAATACTTCAAAAACACAGCTGCCATCATGGTAGCCATTATATATCAGCTTATGTAAGTTAGATAGAGCTCTCATTTTAGCCTCTTGCCACTAGCGTTTGGTAGTCATTATGAATTGAGCAATACTACTAGTCACTTGTTGTGAATGAGTTATATTAGTAGGTATGTACCATTTCATGACTTAGAAATAATAATTATTATTGACTTAGGAATAATATTGTCACAGCATAGAATTACATTGACTATAGCACCGAAACAGGCCATGTGACCCAAATAGTCTGCCAGTTTTTACACTCCATAGAGCCTCTGTCCCCTTCCAATTCCCCTTCCAATACCTCACTATTTCTTGTTTTGTTGCAAGTTCTTTTTTCCCACCCCTTTTGGTCTGCAGTATTAACACCTCTATTCCCCTGCTTTGTTGCAATCCCCTTTGTTTTGGATCATTAACACCTATTTAACCCATCAACCCCTGACCTTTACCCCATTTTCTCCTTTGTTTTCCTTGCTCTGCCTCCCCCCTCTCTGTTAGCCCTTAAAAGCCTCTGCCTCCCAACATGCCCCAGTTCTGACGAAGGGTCGTGTACCTGAAACGTTGACTCACTTTCCTTTCTCCATAGATGCCGCCTGACCTGCTGAGTGTTCCCAGCGACTTCTGCTTTTGTTTTCAGATTTCCAGTATCTGCAGTATTTTGTGTTTTTGGGGGGTTTTTTTCCTCACTATTTCTTTCTCCTTCAAAAGTGTGTGTGTGGATCAGCCTGGATCCGTTGGTAGCACTCTCACCTCTGAGTCGGAAGGTTGTGGGTTAAGTCCCTGATCAGAACTTTTAACTAGGCTCCACTCCAGTGCAGCACTGGAGGTTTGGTACATTGCTGTCCTTCGGAGGACTTCAGATTCCTTGGCACTATTTGAAATGAGAAGGTAGTTTCTCCCAATATCCTATCCAACAATTGCTGAGATAAAATCAGTCATTCACGTGGGACACTGCTGTTCAGAAATTGACTGCAGTATTTCCCTACAAAATATACAGTCATTCAACTTTATAGTTTAACCTGTCAAGCATTTTGAAACATCTTCTTGGCACTATGTCAAATGTAAGGATACATTGCCATAATCAGTGTACGCACATGCATTATATATACATAGAGCACAACATCAGTCTCTTCTCCTGCATCAACCTAATGAGTGCAAGTAATAGCAATTATATATGAAATTATCATTCAGATAAAGGAAATGTCAGTAAAGTTTGCTTTTGTTAGTTAAGCGTTAAATGGACTGTCACGAGAAGGGTTTTGCTTTAGATAACAATTTGAAGTAGGAACTATAGTTGATTTTCCTCCTGACTTAGTCCAGGAACACTTAAGATTTATTGTTGCAGCCTCCCATCTGGTCAGATCAGCTATCATTGCATAGATCAGGGACTGCACTCCTTTGTGCTGACCAGAATTTGCCCACCCCTCTTCACTGCACACAGACAACAACAACTTGCATTTATACAGTATCCTTCATGTCGGGTAGTGTCTCAGAGTGCTTAACAGTGATGCCTAACAGCCTGATGTCGAGCCGGGGGGAGGGAGGAGATGACTATAAGCATTGTTAAAGAGAAAGGTCTTCAGGCATGATCTGCAAATACGGAAGGAGGGGTCAAGGAGGTGCTACAGCACGAAGGGTTATGTAGACGAGTATGAGGATCTGTAGACATGACATTGTTTTCAGTTTGTTGTGCTCTATATGTACACTGATGCATGCCTAGTTCACCGCCACTTACCTGACCGACATTGGTCACATTTTTTCCCTAGGCGATTCCGTTGGCAAACACACTGTCCATCACTTTGGTTGCAGCCATTCCCATCCACTATCCCAGTAGGGTCACAGTGGCACCACTGGCAACCTTGAAGGTTGGATGAAGTAAGGTTGAAAGTACGAGGAGCACACTGATTACACTGCAAGCCTGTGACATTGGCTTTACACAGACACTGCCCTGTAGATTTGTCACAAATCAGCAATCCCTTTATTGTTCCAGCTGCTTTACAGTCACAAGCCAAACAACCTGCAGAATGGCTCGGTTGCAGACTGTAATACCCATCCAGGCACACATCACACCGCCGTCGTCCAACATTAGGTTTACAGAGGCACTGGCCTATTTTCGCATCACATACGGTTCCAGGGATGGTGCCCGCCGATTCACAGTCACAATACTTGCAGCCAGCAGCATCTAGTCCATAGAGGTTGTCTGAGCAAATGTCACAATGAAGACCTCTCACATTTGCCCTGCAGTCACACTGGCCACTATATTGGTTACAGAATTGGTTCTGGGACCCATTGATGTTGCAGTTACATGCATCACAGCCATCTAGGTTAAAACTGTTGAGGTGTTTGAAGCCAAAGTTGCAGCGATCACACATTAACCCTGCAAGATTATAAAATATTACAAGCAAGGTTTGTGGCAAACAGAAATCAAAAAGTGTTTTTGTTTTGTGAAGTGAATATAATTCATCCTTCTCAGTAAGTTTTTACAAATTAATAATTTTATTCATAAACTTTTTTCCTTCATGGTCACTGCCTTTTTACTCAATGTCAACTTTGATAACATTAAATAACAAAGCTTGAGAAACAAATAATTATTTGTATGTATTTTTAAAGAGTTCTCTTTCACTGAATGTTTTCTTCCCTTCAGCTGCTATTGACAAATACCCCCCTCCCAAAAGTTAAACATTCCCATTATCTTAAAAAAAGTAAATATATTTTATATTTGAAAACAACATATGAAAAACAATATATTACATTGGAATAAAAATGCAGAACATTTTCAGCAGAAAGCAACTGCTTGCACCGTGATTGATGACACACCTAAGGCCTAACGTTTAATTTCAGTAAGAAAAATAAAAGTAGCAGCAACATCACAAATTTTAAAATAACTGTATTGTTAAAAGAGTTATGACTCATTTCAAACTATTAAAATCAGTCTACAGGGATTCACCTCATCATTCCTAAAAATATACATAGCACTTATTTGAACTTGTCATGCATGTTCATGACAGCTAATCTGTCTCCAATGTTACTGAGCAAAGCCTACAGGGCATCGCGTTCAGTTTCTTACAGGGTTAACAAGAAAGTAGGGAGAGGTTTCCAGATCCATTAGGCATTTAAGGCACAATCTCTACCTGTCACTTTTTATTCTAGATAAGTGACCTACTTTACAAATTTCTTTGTATTGAATAATTCATTTACAACACAATTGTACAACCATATTAACTGTGGTAAAAATCAACCTCTTTTGCATCACTCTTGTACCACATACTTCAAATGCAATGATCGTATGAAGTTCCTTTTGTGCATAACAAGGAAATAGCACTGATAAAAATAGAGATAAAATTGATATAATCTTCTGAAAAGCAATGTATCATATAGAATACCTTTCAGGCATTAGTCGTATAATATTCTATTCCTGGAGCTCTGCTTGATAACAAAGGTAAAATAATAATAGCAATAAGGAGATCTTTTCCATGGCAGTGCAAAAAAGGTTATCAAATTTCATCCAACATCAAAACTGATCACATTACATAAGTCTTTTTTCATGTCTCAGCTCTGTTGCTCAATGCTGTTCATTACAATTCACGTTAGCTTTCATCTCAGTCCATTTTAGAAGCAGCACTTACTATTTGCTATGCAAATGAAATGGCGATTTTTTTTATCCATATGTATGTTCTGGGACATGTTCTGCTACAATGCAACACACACTTTATCAGGAATGCTCCCTACATAATATTCCCATACATCAAAATTTCAAAGTGTGTTATGCACACAATGTATTTTGAGCAGTTGATAAATTTTGTCCTTATGTAGCTGTTACTAGCCTCAAATATGTTGCAGGTAACAAATTGCTATAATCAAATCTAATTTCTGAAAATACCTGTGGGAACCACAAAACATAAAAGCAAGTATCAGGAAAACATGATAAATAACAGAGAATATGGTAGTTTATTATAATCAACTTGGCAGCGAATTGCAAAATTAAAATCATCTGGCCCTTGATAACTAACCACATATATATGATCTTTGAAATAATGCTAACTCTTTTGCATTTCATGAGAACAGTTCAAAGACATGTAACAACTAAATGAAAAAAGATTTATCACAAAGCACCTCACTGCATTGCAAGCCGTGTGAAAAAAAACCTTTAACTGGACTTCAACCACACCATAATTTCCAGCAAATATTAACTTGGCTCATGTGCTCAGAATCTATTAGCCAAAGACTATTGTGCACATATGTCTGACATGTTTAGCAAATATTTGTTTAATACTTTCAGGCTAAAATACCTCAGATGACTGACTACTGACTGACAGACTTTGGGTCAAATTCATAACTAGCAGGTTATGATACACAAAATCTTATATTTCACCTACCGATAACATTTGCTTTGCACTTGCATTGACCTGAATTTTGGTGACAGGTAATATCTCCATTCACTGTCCCAGAGGTATTACAGTTACAAGGACTGCAGCCATCAGGGTCTGAGAAGCGCAGATTATAGAATCCATCCTGGCACTGATTACACTGTCTGCCAGACACGCGTCTCTTGCATTTACACTGGCCTCCAATCTAAAGAGATTAAAAATATGCTAGTGTAAGTGGAAGCAGATGATGGCAATAATGATTTGTTTTCCTATAATTCTAGTCAAAATAGAAAAGGGGATGGAGAGAGAGAGAAAAATAAAAGGAGAGGATAAATCAAATAGATAAAGTAGCAAACAAAAAGAAAGGTACCGCAACAAAAGGAAAAATAAACTTGAACACTGTAAATCGCAAATCAAAAATAAAGGAAGGGATACGACAAGAAAGAAAGGCTACATTATGAATGGAATTTAAATCATTGCTACTTTTAAATAATGCTTCATCTATGAAACTAAGAAACGAAATTGATTTTTTAACTGGTTATTCCTTTCCTCCACTAAACTAAATCCTCATTTTATTATTGATTTAACTTTGGAGCAGATTGAAGTGCTGCTTTAGGTAGGTTGAAAATATTTTGTGCCTTTTGCACCCCCCACCCCCTTCCCCCCCCACCCCCCAATATACATTTATCTAAACTACAAAATGGAGAATGAAATGTTGCAGCAATGTATTTATAAACTCAGTTTGTTTCTGGTCTGGATACATTACACGTAAGAACCATTGATGCTTTTTTTAAACTGATTTGGTGTGCGCGTGTGTGTTTGGTGAGGTGCGGATGGGGGGTAGAGGCGGGCACAGGAGCTGGGAAATGTGGCTAAAAGCAAGGTTGAAGAGGCAGGTCTTAAGGTCGGGTTTTGAAGACGGAGAAGGATGGGAGGAAGCAAGAGAGGTGGAGGGATTCTGGGATGTTATTCCAGAGAGTGGAGCTAGAGTGCCTAAGGCTTGATAATGCAGTTTAGAGGATAGGAGATGTGAAGCAGGCTGGTGATAGTTGATCGGAGGGAGTGGCCGGTGCAATAGGATTACAGGGAGTCACAGAGGCAGGGTGGGACGTGGCCATGGAGGCATATGAACATGACGACAAGAATCTTGAATTGATTCACTGGAAGATGGAGAGCCAGTGAATATAATAATAATAATCCTTGCATTTGATACAGCTCTTTTCATGTCGGGAGGACGTCCCAAAGCCCTTCACAGAACACACTGTAAAGTGAATTTGACTGTATATTTGTGGGCGAACGGGCAGCCGATTGCGCACAGCAATGTCCCACAAACAGTCGTAGATTGAAAATGACCAATTTAATTATTGTTTTTGTTTTTTGGAGGGATTATTATTAGGCGTGTGGAGTAAGGAAACTTGCCCAAGGTTTCGCCCTGCTTGGAATTGAACTCAGGTCTCTCACTTGCAAAGCGAGTGCTCTAACCACTGAGCTACAGGACTCCACGTGAAGCTAAGCAAGGAAAGACTCACAGATCCCTGTGCAGGAGAGGACACAAAGGAAAGAGCTGGGGAATCCAACATTGTCAGAATAATTGAGTCTGGAGTGATGAAGATGTGGATGAGAGTCTCAACATTCCAGTGGTGGCGGGGGAAGTAGTGTTGGAGCTGGGTGATGTTGCAGAGATGATGAAAGGCAGAATTAGAGACAGCAAGGATATTGGGTTTGAAGGTTAGCTGGGAGGAGGGGGTCAACAAGACACTGAGGTTCCACACAGGCTCTGTGAGGCAAAATAAAAACCTGAATTAACCTATTTAACTTTAGTGTTCAGAATGGTACACACTCAATAGCTTCAGGGAATGCGCATACCAGATTTGTGAATTCAGTTGTGTGCATGTGTGTGCTTGTGTGTGCATTGATAGTGAGGAAACATAGTAAGTTTCTATGGGAACCATGTACATCTACATAACTTTCCGCAGATATACAACATCCCATAAAACATACAGTCACCACACTTTACAGTATACATGGTGAAGTACTTTGGGATGCCTCAACCACTTGATAAGGCTCTGTATCGAATGCAAGGATTATTATTCATTGCAAGTTTTCAGTCACTGTGAAGCAATAATCGACAAAGCTGATTAAATTCTGTTTTCCATCTCAACAACTAAAAGAGTCAGCTGATAGTAATATAATCTCATATCTTTGCTGACATTCCAAATGAGCAGCAAGAAAATGCTGTATTGTTGCAGATGCCGTCATTCAGGTGACAAATTAAATTGTGGTTTTAATTGCTTGTTCAGGTGAATGTTAGCACTAATAATAAACCTTAAATTTGATATAGTGCTTACATTTGATCACTTTAGGAAGATGTCTCAAAATGTTTCCAAAGATATATTGTAAAGTGTAATGATTGTGTAATTTGTAGGCGCCCACACCATCCAGCTTGGGCACAGGAATGTCCCATAAACAGCCATGAAATTAATGTACAATTTGCCCATAGCACTGGGAGAAACTCTCTTCTCTTTTCCAGCGCCTTGGGACATCCTCCCGACGTGAAAGGCGCTCTATAAATGTAATTTTGGTGTTGATGTTGTTATATTAGTGATTTGATGCTATTTTGAAAAGCAGGGAGCTCTTACAGTATCCTGGCCAATATTCCTCATTGATGCAAATTCACCAAGAAAAAAAATTCCAATTTGGTTTTTAATACTTTGACTTTATAATGCACTAAATTAAATGGTTCCTGAAAGAAAAGGTGGTTTGGTTGAAGAGAACCCTTAATTGTGGTGATGCTCATGTATTGTATATTGCGCTTAACTGTACAGCAATTGCCAATCATGAAGCAGGAAATATTAATTTTAGCAATAGTTTATTGGATGCATAAAATCATTAGTCATAAAACATCACCCTATACATCCAAAGGCACCTTTATTGCTACCACTTGTGCTTCTGGATGAAAAAGAAATATTATTATTCATAATAAATAACTCTGTTGAAATGGATTATAATTGATTATGCAAAAAGCTTCATCAGTTTTATAATATTTGCATAATTGTGAGTAACCACTAATGTTATTTCATGACATTTTTTAGCAGTGGTGACTCTGTTGATATAAAATGAAGTCCCAATGGGAAAATATATTATAGGAAGTACCACTGGGAGAATAAACAATAGAAAATAATTCATCGTCACACAAGTGGACTAACATGTCATATCAGCCTCAGTTCTCTCATGATAATCTTCAAGATAACAAGCACTAACAGTTAGTCAAACAAACTTGATTAAGCACAGAATTATATTCCCTGCATAATTCATTTGCACTGCCATTCAAATGGGTTTCTGAAAGTCCACTTACATTTATTAAAATTACCTACCTGATCACACAGGAGGTTCCCATTTATGGCTCCAGCTTCCAAACAATCACATGGTTTGCACACATCAATTGCTGAGAGACTGGTACCTACTTTCCGATAGAAAAAGTCTGTGCACTGCTCACAATTTATTCCTGTAAAATTTAATTGTTCAACTTGCATAAATTAATCATGCATTTTGAGGTTTGCACAAGGGTTAGGGTCTGACCAAAAAAGTGGCAAATACACAATTCTTAATAAATACTAAGCCAATCTTAAATATTCTCACTCTGCATTGTAGCTTGCCTCAAAACATCACAGCAAAGAATGTTGAAAGGGCACAACTCAAGTTTCCCTGGGTAATTTATTTCATATATAGATTGATCGATTCTAGGATTCAACATCAACATCACTTCTAGCTCTTAGTATTATTTTATTCACCTTACATTTTAAATTGTAATAAAAAAAACTTATCTTACTCAAAAAGACAAGGAAATTTCCTGGTGCAGAGAATGATATTGTGATATAGTGGTTGAGTGTATGTCTAGGATTATGGCATACTGTTGGTGTAAAATAAGTGGGAATCTAACCTATATTACGTTTTAACAGGGAAGCCTCCATATTTCAGTACATGTGGCAAACATCAATCAGAACAAAAACCTCATCACAAATACAACACATACCTGTAGTATTATGCTGGCAGTCATCACAAATTCCACCACCACCTCGGAAATAGTCATTCGGAAATAGATCTATGAAACTGTCGTAGTGGCAAGTGAGGGCATGTTTATAGCACTGACAAGGTTTGCAGTTGTAATCATGAACTTGGTCACCCTGATGAAAAGGCTTGTCATTGAAGAGTGGCTGACAGCGTTCACACTGAAAGAGAGTTGTTCGAACTTTAGAAAAATAAGTGCAGCACCAAGAGGCAGATTGAACATGTGTATTTTTTTTTAAATAATTGTAAACTTCTCCTTAAATATTGGGAAAAATGAGAAACCCGAGCTGTAGTTTCCATTGCTCGAACAACAGCGATGGAACCATAGAAAATAAAACAATAACAATCTCTCAGTGTATTTGTTGCACTACACCAATTAGTTAATGTTATGATGAACTACTACACTAATTAGAAACTAACATTTGGCTACAAAATACACTCACTACATTTTACGGTGAATCCAGTGTAGTATAATACAGTGAATACAGTGGAAACACTTTCAGACGTCCTCCCAACGTGAAAGGTGCTTTATCAAATGAAAGGATTGTAAGGATTATGCTAGATCCGTGCTCGTGAGATTTTTTGAGACATTTCTCCAGTCATTCGGTAAATGTACAGACCTTGAGCTCATCGCTGGAATAAAAATGTATAGACCTTCAATTTATAAGCTTAAAATACGATGTGCTCACCCACCAACATCTATAAATTTCCCAACCTGTGGACACTCAAAAATCTTGGGTTAATAGAATAAATGTAGACCCAGGTGGAATTTCTCCCCATACATTTCAAATCTGCAGCACATTCCTTCCCTCCCTCTCCTGAAGTTGCTAACTACTGCTGGGGTTTCGTTCCTCTGATACCTTGTCCAAGAATTCCCTCTCCTGCCCCCAACATCTGGAAACTCTCTGATAATAAGTTTTAAGAGGCACAGAAGCGTACATTTTAATGCCTGGTTTCTTTTTATTTCAAGGGAGGCAGCTTGGTGGGGCAGTAGACGGTTGTATCGATGAAATCCAGCACGGTAGGAGATGAACTTGCACTCATGATTGCGCACACAGTGAGCTTCCAGCCTTGGCATGATCATCAGGGGGCTGTCTCAAGTAGAAACTAGTGGAGAGTAGAATACCACCTGGGTCTGGGTCTCTGTTTATAGAGCATTTTAGAGCATCCAGAATTTTACCGAATTGTTGAATTCAGCTTTAACTGTGAAGTTAAGGCTGAATTGTGTATTCTCTTGTTCTTTAAAGAAAGATACAGAAAACTGACTTCAAAATTTTGGCTTTACAGCATTTAAAAATGTACCGAATTTGTGACTTTCTGAAAAGCTACATGAACAGATTAAATCTAGATCCAGGTGGAATTTCTCCCCATGGATGCCTTCTCTCAGTTAGGAAGGGAAACCATCAGGGAAGCCACCACAGGCCATTCTTAAACACATACTTGGAAAAAGTTTCAATACAGCGCAAGGCTGTGAACAGATTGCTTACCTGGCTTCTCATAAGTCTAGACATGGTGGAGGGAGGGGGGAGGTTTAAAGCAAGGGCGAGAAAAAAATCTAAAAATGAAAGCATTCCACTCATAAAACTCCATAGAGCCAATTTCTTAAAACCCTGCAGCAGCAACAGCTTTACAGATGTAAACAGGGGACCAAAAACTGAGTGGAATGTGTTCGGGGTATTAGAAAAATGTAAACAGGAGTCAGTATCTGGATAAAATGAACAACAACAACAACAAAAAAGCTCCATCTGCTGCCATTAAGTACACCTCAACCTAAATGGTCTGCATTTCACACACTGTGTGTATTGATATTATGCAACCCCTGTAGGAAGGATGATTCATCACTCTCACGTGTGTCCTAGCACGAACCAGTGACGGTCTTATGACAAGCCTGCAGCAGAAGAAAATTTCTAAAAGCTGACCACTGATTATAGAGTCCGAGCACTTTTTTCAGTTCTACACTAACTGGTGTTTAAGGACTGAAATACAATATTGCATATACATCATTTATCTAANTTTTTTAAGTTAAGAGTAGTTTGTGAGATGAAGATGTAGCAGCTAGGAAGAAAGAGGTTACAAATAGCTGACTAATTATAATAATAATAATCCTTGCATTTGATATAGCGCTTTTCACGTCCCAAAGCGCTTCACAGAATATACTGTAAAGTGAATTGACTGTATATTTGTGGGCGAAACTCGGCAGCCAATTGCGCACAGCAATATCCCACAAACAGTCATGGATTGAAAATGACCAATTTATTATTGTTTTTGGTTTTGGAGGGATTATTATTAGGCGTGTGGAGTAAGGAAACTTGCCCAAGGTTTCGCCCTGCCTGGAATTGAACTCAGGTCTCTCGCTTGCAAAGCGAGTGCTCTAACCACTGAGCTACAGGACTCCAAATTATCTGAGTTCATTAGGCTAACCAAATATCTGTGGAAATAATTTATGAAAATCACTGGGTGCCAGTAACTATTTAATGGTCTAAAACACCTTTGAGAGAAAACAATCATTTTCTGATGTGCATATTTTGCTAAAAACTTTTTTTAACTATTGTGACATTATTGTAACAGAAAATAACAGATTCCTAGAAATTACAATGCAGAAGGAAGCGATTCAGTCAACGAAACCTAAGATGATAACTAGCATCTCTACTAGACCTATATAATAATAATAATCCTTGCAATTGATACACTTATCACATTGTCAAAACAGCTCAAAGCACTTCACAGGATTTACTGCAAAGTGATGTGACTGTGTATATTTGTCAGCGAATATACGCTTAATTCCAATTCCCTGCGCTTTCCCCTATCCTTTAGTAAAGATGATCTAATTCTCGCTTTTGTGTCTTAGACAAGTTCCTGAAATCAACACAGCATAATCCTATATTAGAAGGTATAGTTTATTGTTCACTGGGTCTGTGCCCCAGAAACCACACACCCACTGTTAATTATTACCATTGTCCTCCTCATTTGTTGTAATAAACTTACCTCAGTATGAAACCTGGTATTTTAATGTAAAAGACACATAAGATAATAATTGAGGAATTTGTTTTATATATTAGATTTATTTAAATGGTCAGGGAATAATTTCCTGGTGCACTTCGGGGTGGGTTGGGGGTGGGGAGGACATGCTATTGAATTGAACTGTGTCCACTTAATAATAACAGCACAAATTATACTTGTGTAGCACCCTTCGTGTCAGAAAGATGTCCCATTGTTATTATAACAATAATAATCCATGAATTTGATATAGCACCTTATTGAATCGTTGAGATGTCTCAAAGGGCTTCAGAAAATATACTATAAAGTGTATATTTTGTGGACGAAACAAGCTCCACCTGTGAGCAGAACAAGCTTATAACAGTCAACAGAATGTGTGTGTGTTTATCCACCACACCATGTTATTCTACATTGAATGCAAAATATAAATATAGCATGCTCAAGCGCGATTGAAGACAATCAGTCCTGATTGAGGATGCTCTCACTGGCCATTCTCACAAGTGATGGATAAACACCAATCACGTGCTTCACCAGCAATGGACAGTTCTCAGCTGCTATTTGACGTCAGGCAATGATTTTTTGAAAGGATCAGGAGATGCAAACCGGGACTCAAATCGCAGCTGTATCTCTGATTGAAGAGCAACACTGGTCTTTGCTGTGAGGAAATGAAGGATAGGAATACTATAGCCTAATCATAGGTCTCATCTTTCTCACAGACTTGCCTGTGTACATCTTCAGTTCCCAATTATGATATATATTCAGTTTTACTTAATAAGTTGCTTGTCCTGATATTTCAATAAACATACATGGCCTAAAGAATTAGCTGCATCCTTCCAGCAATTTTTATTTGAAGTTAAAAAAAATCAGTTGGCTACTTGTGGGGGTGTTGTACAAGAATAGCAAAAGACAAATTTCCCTCTCTGGTTTATCTCTTCCTTTGTGTGGAGGAAACAACTTGGCTTATACTCATGTTCCTTTACATTCTTGGCGAGGCTAAAATTGAGAACTCTAGAGAATTGGAAACGGAGATGAAACCTGAATCCATCTACGTAGCGCTACATGTCAGTGCTCCAAAACCTGCACCACCAGGAAGATGCAGCTTATGTTTTCATGAATTAATTGCTGGCAGATCCATTAGTTAGTTGTCAGTACAATTCAGAAGACAATTTTCACTATCATTTTACTGTTGGATGGTTGAGCTTTGGACTCGGATATAGGTATGAGGTATAATCTTGATGGGTCCCCTCAGCCCATTAACCATTTTGAGGTCAATAAAATGAGTGAGTTCTATATTTAAGTGTATCTGGGAGGAGGGGTGGGGGTGGGGGAGAGAGAGAATCAGCAGTTTCCCTGTGGCTGAACTGGCTCTGAAGAGACATATCTGGCAAGGCCAACAATTATCTGAGACATCTAGACATGCATGTCCTGAATCCTGCAAGCCTCTGCCTTGACAGTTAGGTTGGTCTTGGCTGGATAAGTACCATGTTGCGTGTTTACCCATTTTTTTAATCAATATTATATCATGGTAGGCTACTCGCATTAATAATTTGCTGACCATTGCCAAAAATACTCAAATATCTGCCTATTGGATATTTAAAACACCATTACATCTAATCTTCAGGAACACATTCTTGAAAGGAATTTGCATTCACTTCAATGCACAGTAATTATATCTAGGATGATTATGGTAGCAAGTCCGATTGCCTTGAAATACTATAAATCGTTCATATTCCAACATGTAACATGTTATGTTATCTTGATTTATACAACACGTGTGGGCATATTGGCAGTGAGATAAATCAACGTTACTGCACTTTAGTATGATATAAAATTTATCACACGGTGTGATAACATCACAGCTGGAATGATCTTTCATCTCCAGACGAAAAGGGGAAAAAATTACAGCAGGAAATCTCAACAGATCACACTCTTCAGGAACACTGTAAAGCTTTCACCACAACCCAAACTATTCTTGGTCCCGCATAACCTGCCTAACTCCTGGTGTCACAAACAATCATACTGACCATCACATCACATGCACACTTCAATTCCAGTGTAAAAGAAGTCCAATTAAAAACAAACCTCTAAAAAAAAGTGCTTAAAAACACAATCATTTAAAATTTTTAAAATGCACAAACACAATATTTACTAATAATCGGAAATGGTAAGTGCTTAATGCACTCAAGAGGCAGTTTTAAGTTGCAATTTAGAATTTCTATGATTACCAATTTTGAGGTCAACCCTTGGCTGATAATAGATCAAGTTTCCCCGTGCATAAAATATCTACAAACAATGTACATCAGCAGCACATTTTATAACAAATACTAGGTTTGCAGAAATCAATATTATTACTAAATTAAAAATGAGAGACTGACTTGACACCAATGCTTTTCTCAGTTATATTCCCTGATTATCAAACTCTTTCTGGTGAGTTTTAAAACACTAAACATAAAACATTTATAGTAATTTAATCCTTACACAGTAACATTTACTAAATGTTTAGACCAATTACTGAACTCAAGGACTGGATTGTGACACATTCAACAGAAATAGATCACTTGAAGAGTATCGCTTGCAAACTGTATATTATTTTACAATATCACATTGTCGGTGAATAAGAGAACATCTCTAACCAAATTCCTTTTGGAATTTATTATAGTCTTCTCAGAATCCATGATCAATTAATGTAATTAATCAATAATTCAATCTCTCTGGGGACTTACGTTATATCCTTCTGTGTAGCTGTCCTGCAGGCACATGCATCTGTATGGATTGGCTGTAGTGTCACACCGATCCGCATGACCATGGCAGTTGCACCTGCAAGGACAAGCAACAAACTAAGGAAAACATCGCAAATGATGAACACATCCTCGTTTATTAGCAGAAAATCTAAAATGTGCAACTTCCCCAGTTAAAGATTAGCAGCTACCTCAGTTGCATATGTTTTGTAATGGTAGCTGGCTACTCCATTCAACATTTATAAATGCCAAATTAATTATCAACTGAAACCTATAGTGCTCAGAGCCAAGTTGACAGAGAAAGCTTTCTCGCAATCAAATAGACTGACTCAGCTGTTTTAATATTCATTTGACTGATTTTGTGTGATGCACATGAGGTGATTATGAGACATTACTTAGGATTAAAATCAATTACTCAACATTTGGAAATGTTACGTTTCTGCTCTCACATTACAGGCAAAATGCAAAATGATGAACTCTAATCCTGTGAACAGTAGTATTCTATCATGTTGATAAATATATTGAGCCAATCATAAATGTTTTATACACAAAACTGTGATATTGTTGCATACTTTTTGGGGGGTGGGGAGAAGAGGGGAAAATAATTACAATTGATGTATTTTCGTAATGTTAATGTTGAGTTGTCAGATAAATAGATACTGGAATATAGTAAGTAAAGAGGGAGAAGAAAATAGAAAGTTAAAAAATGATGACATGAAAAAGAGGACATTGACGATCCCATGGCACTATTCAAAAAGTGAAGGGAATTTCTCCCTGTGTCCTTGCAAAAATCCACCAGATAAAATTAGGAATTCACTTCATGGCCACGTATGGGACTTTGCTGAGCGCAAAATGGTCGGCTTGTTTACTTGCAAACACACAGGCATTGCACTTTACAGAAAATCCTGTGAAGAGCTGACGTGATAGGGCACAATATCAAATGCTAACATTACAGTGGAGCATCTTCATGACTGTAATATTAGCATCTACGGAGTCACAATGTGTGTGCTAAAAATGTGAAAACTACTTGTGTAGTTCAGCTATCCAAGGGTTAATGCCAATTGATGCAGAGTTTGTGCAGTGGGCCTTTGCCCAAAGCAACTGATTCCATACATACTAATATTACAGTAATGATATGGCCAAATTATTTTCAGTTAGGATGACCAGAAAGAGGGATTCTTTGTCCTATCAGACAAGTCTGGATTGTAGCCCAGACCCCAGAGAGAAAAAGTTAATTGCTGAGAGGAATTGATAATCCAGATGCAAGCAGCTTATTTAACTTCGACTGTTAGTGCAGAACTAGAGGACACAAGTATAAGATGAATAACCTTTGAGCAAACCTTGAGATTAGAAGGATTTTTTTTTCCCCACAGGGTTGTGGAAATGTGGAATAGACTCCCTGCCTAAACCCAATTAATACAGTGTATTATAACACTTAAACAGAGAACTGGATAACCAAATGGTTACAAACAGAACTGAGGGTTATGCAAAAGCGCTACAGATAAAAATGATCAAATAGTAAGGGGAACATGAGGGTGCCTGACCTGATCAGAACACAGAAATGATAAGCTGACCGATACTTGCTAACCTTATTATTCTCTGAGCAAGACTGCAATTTCGTGCATAGCCACTTGTTTGCCGACACTCATTTCATATAGCAATTTTATAGTAAGCAGAGAGGAGACTTTCATCCCATTTGTGAGGCTGGATTCAAATTCACATTTCAGAGTTGCAAACCCATTATGTCTATTGCCCCCTCCCCTCTCCATGTGCTCTTTCATTCAGAAACAAGTCTGTAGCATTCCCTAGAGAGTGTACCACATTGAGTTCTCCTGCATAATGTAAAGTCAATCCTAATGGTCTCCTGAAAACGTTGTGCATTATGTCCATGTGCAAGAGAATGACGGCAGAAAGGCAGTCAGACTAATACTTATAATTTATTGTGCAATGAATCATTCCTGAATCTTACAACTGTGCAGAAAAAGTATTTCAATAGAGAAACTCCAGTAGCACAAATTGGATGGATTGGGTAACAAGGTGCTGAGAAACATTTTTCTTTCAGTCTGTAAACTTTAGGTGTTAGAGCAGTAAAACAAACAAACATGATTAATGGTGAATTGTTTACCAATCTGAGGCTTTATAATCTTGATAATAAAACACCCCGAAAACTAGTAGAGTTGAAAAACATCACTGGATTAGGAAAGCTAAAGTTTTTTGGTGTAATACGATATCGTTTCTTAGTATATGTTTAGTATCATAGAGTAAAACGATGTTTAGTAGCAAACTGGATATAGTACAGGATGACCAAAAAGTCTTATTTTTCAGTTATCCTATTATCTGAGAAAAAAGTCATAATTTCTTTAAGACTTATTAGATATTGTAATGTATCATGGCTTTTTGGTCACCCTGAATAAACTAATAGCAATTGTGAATATATGCATGGATTTATTTATATATTTACTTATTGATGGACAGCGTAAAAACTGAGGTGCACAGTTGCTCTATAGACTTTCTTTACACAGTAATTAGATCACATATCTGCTGAAGAGGTTATGCTTTCAAGTGAATGGCATTATAAAGCTTTCTCAAGCATGAACAAACAACAATGCACCATGGAGACCTGTAGCAGATAACCCTTTTAGTGAGCTAGCTATGTTTTCAGCCACTTCCAGTATGTTCATGGAAGTACCATGTATAACAAGAAACCATAAACTGGGTATGTATGGCAGTAAAAATCTGCTTATCTGATTTTTTTTCACTCTAGGATAGTAATGATGGAGTAAGAATAATGTAGGTTTGGGTATTTCTATCTATTGTGAAAGGTTTCTCAATGCTTCCTAATGCGAGAATATTTGTGTTGCATTGACATTTATGTGTCGAACATCAGGTACATAGTTAAGCTATACATGAAAAGTACTTTCACATCTTGTAATTCACTTTTCTTCTCACACTACAATTAGGAATAACAAAACGATTTATCAAAGACAAACCATGAAAAAGGCCCAGTAGGTACAAAAGAGGGCTTTGTGTCTGTACCGTAAATGTAATGGTTTGGATACTGTTAAGCATGGTGCTGGGTTTCCATGTGAGACACCCAGCTAACCAAAAAAATATATAGAGAAACATTTTTTAATCATTCAGCTTAAATTTGAAAGAAAATTTAAACTCAGCTAGTCATAATAAATTGAGAAATATCTTACACTGTTGATTTTATATGGTGAACAAAATAGAATATACTAACAGTAATAATCCTTGTTTTTCCAGTCAGGAGGCCGTCTCAAAGTGCTTCACAGGATTTATTGTAAAGTGTAGCATCTATATTTTGTAGGCAAATGCGGCAGCCAATTTGCACACAGTAATGTCCTGTAAACAGCCATGAAATGTTGGCCAGGGCACTGGGAGAAACTCTTTTTTTTATCAAATTGTACTATGTAATCTTTATTGTTCGCCTGAGCAGGCAAAGAGGACTTTGCTTTAATGTCTCATTGGAAGGACAGCCTCCGATAATGCAGAGTACCCCAAGCACTGCATTGGAATGTCTGCCTAGATAGACCTTTGGGGGAGGTAAGTGGCGTCTCCTTGGAGCTGAACTGGCTCTAAGGTGACATGCCTGGCAATAGAATATCGGAATCGAGCTAGACCTCTGTGGCGGTCTCGGTAGTTCGGTTCCTGAGCCAGGCAATTCCGCAGTTTTCCAGGGCACTGCTGATGACAACACAGCCAGCCTGGCTCATTAGCAGAACCTGGAAGGGCAGACCAGTCACTACGGGCAGGGAGTCTTCACACACAGCTCCTGTTAACCCTGCAAGCTAAAGCCCTAACGGGAAGGTGATCCAAGCTGGACAAGCATCGGGAAAACTTGAAGGAGCAATATCAGTGGCAAGCTATGAGGTTCTAGCTGGTTAGACTCCAGCAGTATCACAATGTGCAGTCTAATGTCCCTAATAGGCCTTAGCTCTGGTCAACCCGTGCCTAATACCTTCCGGAATTAGGTAAGCAAGATGCATCCCTCCAAGGAGAGAGTGTGCATTCCATTCCAACAATCTCTCTCTCAGATTTCCATGTGTAAGTCGGATGCATGGAAATCTCAGCTTGGTTTGGATATTAGTTTCCACATGTATCAGACACCGGGCTGACCTCCCCGCCCCAAAACATGAGTTCAAATTCCTGACATCGGGCTTAAACCCCCACTCTTCTGACACCGGCAAGAATGCTACAAACAGCATGGGTCACACCTGTCTAACTGATCAAATCATCACAACTGTTCAGATGGAAATTTCAGCAAACTTACCTCCCACTTATCGTGATTTCACCAACCCCATAATATCTGTGCCTGAAATTCACGGAGGTTTGTGTAGTATAGTACTGGCCTCTCAAGTGAATTCGTACATGTGTAGCCTTGACAAATTCTTGAAGAACTGGAGTATTATAAAAATCATTATATCCAGGACGACGGTTTGGTTCAGGAGTCAGTATACTGAAAGTCACGTTACCACGGGAATAGGGGATGTTGCTGATTAAAATATATGAAATAAAAAAGGAAGAAAAATCAAGGGAAAATAATTAATTAATATAATTAATAGACACATTGAAATTACAGCACAGAAAAATTCAGACGATCGACCTATGTGGTGCCACACACAATACAATACAAATTTATACATAGCACCTTTCAAATCGGGAGGATGCCTCAAAGGGCTTGATAATGCCAGCTGGGCACCCGAGCTGCGAGTGGGAGCCCAGAGGAGGGAAATGACCAGAAGCATGGACAAAGAGGTATGTTTTGAGATGTGCCTTCAACAATAGATCCTCTATTGGAGCAAATCATCTTAATTCCAATTCCTGCTTTTTTTGTATTGTTCTCGGTAATTTTTTAAATCCAATTCCCTTTTACATGTTGTGGCAAAGCATTATTTGTTTTAAAAATGTTTCAATGTGGGGAAAAAAATAGAATTATGCCTGAACTAAATAAAAATATTTTGATTGGAAATACAAATTGACCTGAGGGTTCCAACGGTATTTTACATGAGTGAAGTAGTGTATCCATTCACTGTTTTATTTTCGTTCATAATCCATAGATGTAATTGCTGTAAAACATTGTCTAAATGTCAAACTCTTAACTTTCATAATTCATGTTCTGCAATTAGCTGGTACTACAAACTAAAAAGTCAATTCATTCCCAACATGGAAAGAACAATAGAAATGCGTGGCAGTAAATTGTGACACAATACATTGGGAGGTGAGCATTTTACTATCTTGTGCAAGTGGATGTTGCGTGTGGCTGTGGGGAGAAAATTGGAAAAAAAATTGAAAATAAAAAGAGAACAGGAAACCTTAGTTACAATGTCCCAAATAGAGATACAACAAGTTGCATTTATATAGAGCCCTTCACGATGGGTAGTGTCCCGGAGCGCTTAAATCAACGAGATTAACGAAGCCTATCAACCTTGCCCTGTGCCTGAAGGCGCAAGTGGTGAGGTTGGAGGTGCCAGGGGGGAGGCTTTGGGTGAGCCAACAGGCAGTGACCTGCGCGGGGCCGAGGGCTCAGGGTTCCAGATGCGGAGACGCCATTTCAAAACCCCCAACCTGGAACAACAGCCAGAACATCCCACATGATGTCACCACCGCGTAAGTTGTTATCAAGGCCTCCACAGGCTCAGTATTCCTTTTCATTTCTCTTCCTCACCTCTTCCCTGTCCTCCTTTACCAGCCCCATCCCCCATCTCCTTCCCTCTCTCTAGCTTTGGTCCAAACAAAGCCATGCGCACTATCCCCTCTCTTCCCTCTGTGCTGTCTCCCAGAGCCCCCGCCATACCTGTGGGATGACCATGTCCCGCTAAACGCTTTGCTTCCGGTCACCGCATGCACGTTTTGGCTGATTCGCTACTCACAATCAATCCTTCTCCCCCACCGCCCTTCTCGCCTTCTCTCTTCCCTGGACCCCAACACTGCCTTCCTCTGCTCCAGCTTGTGCATCCCCCCAGGCCCATCATGGCTCTCGGTGATGGTTGTCCGAAAGCAACCACCCAAACTGCCCCATCGCCCACTCTACCCGTCATAGCCACCTCCCCCACCTCCGAAACGAACAACAAGTTGCATTTACATCCCCCACCTTTCCTCATCCACATACTTCCCCTTCCCAACCCCCACCCATCCTCCACAGTCAATCCCCAGAGCCTAAAACTCTCCCTACCCTTGCTCCAAAGGGAAAGTAGGGAGTCCAGGTCCACCGAAGTTCTCTCGGCTTGACTGGAAGGCATCGGGGCCTGGATGAGCGAAAACGTCCTACAACGTCCTACAACTAAATGTTGACAAGACGGAAACCATACTCATTAGCTCCCATCAAAGTGTTCTATCTGTGGCTCTGACCTTCGCAACCTTATCCCTCAGACTTACCGAACTGATGTATCAAAACACTTGTCCATGCATTTGTCACCTCCCGACTCGACTTTTCAAAAGCCCTTTTTGCCACCACCATGCACAGGATCCGGCTGATCTGAAACTCCACCTCCCGTATACTCACCTGCCCTAAACTCCATACCTCCATTCCATCAGTTCTAGCTAGGCTCCACTGGCTCCCTATCGCCGAATGAATAGATTTCAAGTTCCTCACACTCGTTTCCGAATTCCTTCATGCCCTGGCACCTCCCCAGCTGCTAACACCACAACCTGCTGCCTCCACTCGACTGTCTCCAGTCTTCTACATGTCCCTTGTGCCCTCCGTTTCATCTTCAACGGCCACACTTTCAACCACTACACCCTGAAACTCTGGAACATTCTTCCTCTATCCCTCCACCTTGCCCTTTCCTTTCCCCATCTTCAGGTCGTACCTAAAGACTTTCCTCTTCAACCGTACTACGTTCACCTCCCCCTCCCCCAGGCTCAGCATCTTGCTCTGCCATTGTCACGTGCTCTGGGACGCTACCCTGCATGAGGGGCACTATATAAATGCAAGTTGTTGTTGAGCGAGATACCATTCACACCTCCAGATGAGAGAGGAAAGTATATTAAAAAGGGGCTAGAGAATAGATACCTCAATCTTGGATCAGGATAGTGAGTCTTTGGAATAGTTTCAGATTATACATCAGTATTATCAGGAGCTATCATCATAATAAAAATAATAATAATCCTTGCATTTGATATAGCACTTTTCACGTCTTCTAGACGTCTCAAAACGCTTCACAGAATATGCTGTAAAGTGAATTGACTGTATATTTGTGGGTGAAACACAGCAGCCAATTGCGCACAGCAGTGTCTCACAAACAGTCGTGGATTGAGAATGACCAATTTATTATTGTTTTGCTTTGGAGGGATTATTATTGGGCGTGTGGAGTAAGGAAACTTGCCCAAGGTTTTGCCCTGCCTGGAATTGAACCCAGGTGTCTCGCTTGCAAGGCGAGTGCTCTAACCACTGAGCTACAGGACTCCACAAATCATCTCAGAACCCCTAACATGTTTCAAGTAATATATTATTCCATAATCCTTGCAGACCTTTCCAGGTTTTGTGCATCAAAAAAAAACATTGTGAGAAGTTCACATTCTTCTACTTCATTCAGTGACTGCTTTCAAGAAACAAAAGCTCTGCAGTCCCTGTGCATTTCACTGTACTTTATAGCACAATGGAGCCTTCTTATTATCATACCCAATTTGCCAGCCAATTTATTTGAGTGGGCTATGACATTAAGCAGGCTTATAAAAAATAAATGGAAAAAGGTAGGAACAGAACTAAAATTGAAATAAAAAGAAAATCAACGAAAATGAGAAGCGACAGATGTACTGTATGGAGGTTAAATAAACCAGTGAGAAGGAGAGGGTTGCCAAAATGTTGAAAAGCAGGTGTGAACAGATTAAAAAATTAGTTCAGTGGTCAGCGCTTTTCAGATGCTAATGTATTCATTGGGTTAATCAACCAGTAATTCACACATAAGATAGATACAAAAAGATTTATGTACGTGTGAGTGTGATATTGCGTTCATGGTAGTTGTGGCTAACTGTGGAACTTTAACGTAGATAAACTGGTTCTATTACGACATAAAATTGGTTAAATTTAAAAGTAGCAGATTCCCATAGATAAGAGTCTCATTCCTAGAATGTGTCCTCCATCTAATGCATTCCCATTGCACTGTTTATATACAATGATTCTCAGATTCACATTGGTAGACTCATCTGAAGAATTTTGATGATAATAATAATCCTAACATTTAATATAGTGCCTTCTCAAAGCGCTTTACAGAATATATTGACTGTGTATTCCTGCGGAGTCCTGTAGCTCAGTGGTTAGAGCACTCGCCTTTCAAGCAAGACACCTGGGTTCAATTCGAAGCAAGTTTCCTTACTCCACACGCCTAATAATAATCCCTCCAAAAAAAAACAATAATAAATTGGTCATTTTCAATCCACGACTGTTTGTGGGATACTACTGTGCACAATTGGCTGCCGTGATTCACCCACAAATATACGGTCAATTCACTTTACAGTCTATTCTGTGAAGCGCTTTGAAACGTCGAGAAGACGTGAAAAGCGCTATATCAAATGCAAGGATTATTATTATTATTTTTATTATTATATATACAGAAATGAACAGAAAATGGTTCAGTGTTTTGGAATTCTACGAAACACAGATTGCAATTGCAAGAAGTAGGATAAGCATGTTTTGCCACATTCAGCAATCATAATTTGCAGAAATAATTATAAGATGGAAAACCAATGGACATTTTGAAAACCACCGTGGAGATTCAGTCACACGATGCAGTAGCATGTGTTTCACACACATTGCCTGCAAAAACGAATAATTTTAAACAGACTTTTAAAAAACTCACTGTGGAAACGGAAGGCAATTCACAGAGTTGGGAGTGTCCAAAGGGCCACTGTTAGCCTTTCCAAAAATACTTGTGCAATCTCTAGCAAAATACTGCCAGTCTTGCCACTCTGAGTCACTGGTCTTTTTCCTCTGAATCCTAATTACCTCTGGCTGAGGACTAAGAAACTGCAATATAACATAGAAAACCTGCCAAGAAATACAAAATTTAAGGTTCAAACAGAATCAAAGAATCAATAGAATTATATAGCACAGAAGGAGGCCATTCGGCCCATCATGTTTGTGCCGGCTCTTTGAAAAGAGCTATCCAAATCAATCCCACTCCCCCTCTCTCCCCATAGCCCTGCAAATTTGTCCTCCCAAAATAATTATCTACTTCTCTCTTAAAAGTTGTATCAAATTGGTTTCCACCACCCTTTCAGACAATGAATTCCAGATCTGAACAACTCGGATAATAGCTTTGGACACTTCAAATGCTTTGACTTTGTAAAAGTTTTTCAGCAACTAAGTAGCCAAGAATCCATAGTATCAATTCTAAGTAGTGCAAGGTGACTACGGTCAATTGTTGGGGCTGGTATTTGCCTAGTATAGAAATCAACTATTATAAATTTACGATGGTGCTCATTCAAGAAAATGCTAATAATGTTACCTGTTGCAGGCATTACTTTTCTCACTGAAGCTCAGTTGCCGCACGAAAAAGTGAGTTTCTGTCATCTGATAAGAGGAAAATTACCCAAAGAAATTATCCCTTTAAGAGCTTCTTGCAGTGTGGAATCTTCTTGATCAGATGACCTTTCCTTACTTTGCCATGACGTACAGTGGAAGGGCTTGTACTTAAAGTGCACCTTACTTCTTTAATCAAAGGGAGCAATTTTATATCATGGACTCAGCAATTTCAACCTTCTATTATTTAATTGTTCGTGATCAACACAACTTTTCCAGACTAAGTTTTTTTAAAAAAAACTTACCTGATACTGTCCATTTTGCAAATCAAAAGTTATAGTAACACCATTGTCCAGCTCAGCTAGGTCAGTGAATACCAAGGATATCCAAGATGTGCCAATGTCATTGTCATTGATGTAATCCAAGGGGTGAGCATCTGAATTAAGTCGGAGCACCCGATCATCAGTTGTATCATCTGCACCATTTGGGATACAGTATCTCTGGACCAATGGATGAACTCGGGGATGACTCCCCGTACAACGGCATTGTGTCTGAGTGTGCAGATGTGGCAATTTTCCAGAAAACACTTCAGAAATTTCTCTGTCATGTGAAGAATAAATTCAGCAATAATGAAAAAATTCAACTCTGAAGGAGAAATAAATTAAACACACAATTTTATTTTAAATGACCTTTGCATCAACCTTTGTTTTAATTCATCTATCCAAATCCACACCCAAGAATGTTTCAAGGATGAATGGCATGAAGTCTACGCTAACACCACAATGAATGACACGATTGTCTTATCCTCAGTCGGAAGCAGAAATGCCTGCAGTGTGTACACCTTAGCTGTCATCGAAGTAAACATCCTATTCCTTGAAGCACCCTAGAGGGGCTCTCCATTATTCCCCTCCCCATGAAATTCATCATGTTTCTCATTGTAAGCCGAAGGTTGCACAACGTTGTCAAAGGTAGAGGCATCTACATGACTATTGATGACCTGTAACATCAGCATGGCTATTAATGGTTATAACTTCAAGCGTTAGCTTCACAGTGAATATGACTCTGAGGCTGAGGATGATCAGCAGCTATTAAGGTAAAAACTTGATCTATTTCAATCCTCATCTACTTTAAGGTCTGTAGGTGCAAGTTGTCTATATTAAGAGCAGTAATCTCTGTCTAAAGTTTTGAATATCCATTGCTATGTGCATGCTGTTATATATATATGTGGTTATTCCTGGAGATCTGATTTCTGACCTGGTTGTCTCTCTCAAACATCGTTAAGGTACTTTTAGGAAATTGCCATGATGCACTAACCTGTTTGTGAGACCTGCTTGATAAAACCTGAAATCTTGCATCCTGCCGATGAACTGCTCAGAGCCTATGGAAAGAAATGTTTTAAAAATTCAATATACTTGAAAGCTCTTTAAAGTGGACCTGTGTAGGACAGTAACTTAATGTTAGTTCACCTCTGGGTTCTAGGTTCACATCCAGCCCCTCCTGATGAAATTAAAGTCTTTGCTTGGTTGGATGTGAGAGGTTTGGTATGAAATAATTTGGGGCAGCCTTAACTTTATTTTCAAAATATATAATTGGAGATGCTTTCATTTCACTGCTCCAGGCACATAATTGGTACACATTCATTTATGTAGCCTATCAAAGTACAATGTGGCACAAGGTTCAATTAATATTTGCATCCTGTGTAGATTCGCTAATATTATTTTAGGTGGTCACACAATGGACAACACAGTGAATCTTTCCCACGTTTTACAATCTACAACAAATCTTGAGTGATCTAGTCACCAGGTTCAGTGAGTAGACTCATCTAGGTTTCAACAAAAATGATGAGATGAATTTTGGGGAGAGGTGTTATGTCTGGTGCATGCAGTTATAAATTCCACTTGATAGTCAACTGAAATAGGAATTAGACCTCAGCAGATGGAATGCACAAGTTTTCTTTGAGAGATTAATATACCAGATCTGTAAAGAAATATTAGGAAAAGCTAGGGAGTGTTTTCTTGTGAAAAACAAAGAAATAAAAGACATTCATATGCATTCGCAAATTGAGATCTAATAATCAGCAATTTCAGAACAAAATACCAGATCTGAACATGGGACTTCTATCCGGGAAGTGGAGGTACATAACACCTCATCCAAGGGAACTCTGCTCCCAAAACAATCAGTGCAAAGTTACCACAAGTTGGTGTGGTACACTTCCAGTTTCTTTACTAAGGAATGACATTAGAAATCACCACATATTGGACCAGTGTCAAATGTTTTGAAATTTTTAAAAAAGATTATTTTTTTTTGCTGCTCGGATTTCTGAGTAATTTTGAAGTGTTGTGCATCTTCCCTTGAAAATGTAGAAAGGTAGCATCTCCAACACATGTTCATTCTTTATTTAGATTGATGTATCGACTGTTGGCAGAGTCAGTAACTTTGCCGGTAATCAATACATCAATAATTGGCAATTTAGAATTCCCTTGTCAGTTTCATCAAGATAGTGCCTCTAGTTTGTATCACTGAGTCAATGAATTCGAGATGCCCTGAGATAGGGTGGTCAGTCGCAGAGAATGCTGGGCAATCTTTCCATCTGTAACTAGAAGTTCACACCTCAATTTATAGTATTCTTGTTATCTAAGCTATATAAAAGATTTCCAAATCTTTCACTGGATGATTACATTTGAGTTAACCTAATCGAGAATTCCTTTATTCAGAGAGTGCAGCAACGTTATTGTGTTATGCATTGCAGCAGAAGTAATATTTACTAGACATGGATAAATGATCCAACCTCTATTACGGGAGTTTAGTTTCGTTGAATCCAAACCAAGTTGATTTAAAGCCTTCCTACAAAATATCTCTTCTTAACTATTTCCATTCTTTGCCAAACGAATAATGTGGAATCTTGCGATTGGTCATGTGAATAATTAATGCTGCACAGCACTGAATTGCAGTAATATTTGTTACAAGTCACTACAATAAAGCATTGATTATCCACACTAATTGGGACTGGCACCCATTGCAAATAAACAAACTGCAGATAATTGGACATCATGAAAAATATGAATCTCTACAGTGCTAACTGACAATATAAGTTTCATCAGGAATAATACTGTCAGTACGTGTATAGTACCTCACTGTGCCATTCCATCTCTCTCTCTCCCACACACATACATGCTGATGTTTTTGTTCTGCCAGAGACTCTCTGACTCTCTCAATGGAATGGAATGTCATATAAGCACCTCATAAACGAATTTCAGAGATCGAAAGTTCCGCAGTGAGCAGAATTGTAATTTGTAATTTATAATTTTCTGAGATGAGACGTGGCATCAAATAATTATTAGCCAATGCAGCATGGAGGAACTTCCTGAGTGTCCCAGAAGGACTCGGAATTTTGTATTTTCCAAACCAGTTCTAATAGACCAGAAAGAAAATTTACCAGGCTAGTCCAATTCTGTAACTTTTGCTTTTAATGAGATAAAGTAACCTCATGTGGAATGAGCTATAAATCGTGCCCAAATAGAAAAGTGGGAGCATGTGAAAAAGACAGAATTGCAACAATTAAGCCATTGGCTACAACAGCGCTAAAGCCTGTTTATCAGGACACTGAGCAACTGCAGGAGTTACTGGAATAGTATTAGCGATTTTACTATCAGTGTGGATACAATTTTTTACCACTGTTCTACCACAAATAGTGATTAACTCTTCATCTCACATTCATTAATTTGAAGCTATCTGTTCTTAAAAAGGTTACTCTGAACTTTGCTGTCAATGCAAAATCAGCTCTTTGGATTAAGAAACAAATCAATGTACTTATATTCACCAACTGTTGCTAAAACTCGTCTAAGTGCTGGATATTTCAAAGGCCCAATTCAACCAGAACATTTTCACAACTTCCATTAGGCATTAAAGTGTATTGATAGTGCGGAACATTCTCACTTAAAGGCTATTTTAAACAACCAGCAGGAGTCTGAAAACAGATTGAATAGGGTTCAGTGGAGCAAAGAACATGTTTCCATAGCAACCACTAAGCTCCCTTTTGACCACCATTAAGAAAATTTGACATTGCTAAAATGGAGTATGCCTCAGAGCATCTTTGTTTGCAAACCAGCGTTTAATAAGCGTTAACAGAATTCAGCAGATGTAAAGAGTAGTGGCAAAACAAGGTTGACTTTCAGTTTTGAAAGCTTATTACAATCTTACCATTTAGACTTTGTCCAATCCGTATAGCAGAATTGGTGGTTGCATCTGCAATTGGTCCAGTGAGAAGCTGAGCATCAAAAGCAGTGTTGTCTTCCTCCAGGCCATTTATGAAGAAACTGATTCGAGTGCCATGTGTCTGCAATAAAACAAATCAATACAAAGCACTCAATCAATCGTTCACCCATATTTAAATGATACATTGTTTCTAACTGACCTTCACTTCTGCGCACCTGTATTTGGTTTGGTTTGTACTGTATATGGTGCCTGTATCAATGAAATCCAGAAGAAATGTTTTCACTCATGCAAAAATATTGATCCACTGTAATGTCATTACAGGTCTCACAAGGAGGAATCTGAAACCTTGCACGGTTACTTTGTTTAAAATATATTTTTATAAAATCGATGAAAGCTGCTGTCACACAATACGTTTTTAATACTATACAAATGTAGAAAAATGAAAAAGTTAAAAAAACGCATGGTCAAGAGTGGGTTTCTAAGACTGGGATTAACAATGATCGCTGTGCCAGTGACCTTATTCTGAAAAAAAGGTTTGGAACAAAACCATAGCTAAATTGACAGTGAACTTCCTGACATGAAAGGTGCTACACAAATGTAATTTGTTGTTGTTGTATTCATCTGTTTGTTAGGCGATTTCACCAGGCTCACCAAGAACACAATGCAAGTAATAATAATCCTTGCATTTGATATAACACCTTATTGCGTCGCTGAGACATCTCAAAGCGCTTCAGAGGAATTACTATAAAATGGATTGACTGTATTTTGTGGGCGAAACACAGCAGCCAGTTGCACACAGCAATGTCCCACGAACAGCCATGGAGTGAGTGATCAATTTCTACTTGGGGGATTGTTGGCCAGGACACCGAGAGAAACGTCCTTCTCTTTTCGAATAGAGCCATGAGATAACATCCACCTGAACAGGAAGATGGGACCTCGGTTTAATGCCTCATCCGAAGGATGACACCTCCAACAATGGAATACCCACTCAGCACTGCATTGCACTATCATCTTGGACTATGTGATTCCAAGTCCCAACTTGGGGCTTGAACCCACAACCTTCTGATTCAAAGCCAAGAATGCTATAACTGCGCCAGGCTGACACACAAATGATGTTAATTTCAAAAATATTTCAGATTTGTAACATTGCATTTCTTAAGAACAAATTACTATAAAACGCCTATAGAAATACAGTATGTAACAATCATTTCAGACATGCTTTTTGAGAATTTCGTCCTTGTTAACGCACTCACCGAAAACTTGGACTTTCACTCACAACCATATACTGTATAATGCTTCATTAATTTACTATAATCGCTCAAGTCTCTAAGGGGAGAAGATTTCAACTGTCAATAACTTTTATGCTAATTTATTGCCATATGGAAAACGGCAGTCTAGATGCAAGGCTACTTTGGTCAGTATTAATATCGGTTCATAAATTCTAACATGAGTTTAACAGAGTGGTAAATCTTTTGCACCGGTGGATTAAACCAATTGAGCCAAACATCAAAAAGGGGGGAGGATGGTTCCAATTAACTTTAATCATGCTTCAAATTCTGAATTGCTATATAGCATACTATCATCCTGTTGTAAGTCACATCAGACCTTAAGCCATATCAGCAGATAAAAGGTAAAACTATTGCAACTGTGGTTTTAATATCTTTCAGAATGTATCAGGTAAAATGAGTCTACATATTTCTCTATTGCGGAGTCAATCTGGGCTAAGTTATTGCTGAATGAGGCTCACATTAGCTCTTCTTGCAATGTATAATGATGGACCCTTGCAAAGCATAAGAACTGTTCTGTGTTCAAAATAGATACTAGTGGGCGTTAGATTTGAGGTAATTAAAACAAAAAGTTTGTTTTAACCTAAAACTCGATACTTGATTCATATCCAAACAAAGGGACCACTTATAGAGAGCAACAATACAGTCTCCTAAACCAGAGAAGTTTTCAATCTCTCCGAAAGTCACTCAGTCTGTGGAGCTGGGTCAAAATTGTGAATTAAGGCTACCATCAGTACTACTACTAGTACTACAGTACAAAATTACATTTGTATGGTGCCTTTCACATCAGAAGGACATCCCAAGGTGCTTGACAGTCAGGAATTTGGACTCAAGCTGGGGGTCGGGATCGGGGCAGCCGAAGGCGTGGTCGAAGAGGAGGGTCTTGAGAACGTGCCTTGAAGGAGCCAGCTTTGGGATGATGATTCACAGGGTGTGCTGTGCATTAGAATCATTAGCACATATTAAAAAACAGAAGAAAGCAAAGCTTGCACCCAATGAAGCCAGCCACATAAAAGCAACCCTGTTGTAAAACTTCTTACAAGGCACTCCACCTACTGAACACTCCATGTACATTTCCCGAACCTCCAAAGGCTTTCGAGCAAAAAATACTCTGAATACATTTTTCCATCCCACATTTCTTTTATTCAATACTGACCTCCTTCCCGCCAAACACAACAATCCCCGCCCTTGCATAACCTCAACAACACAGAAATCATTGTGTCCCACAAGGTTTAGGCTGTACCTCTCACTCGAGCAGTTCTTTTTAAAGGAGTTAATTGATGCAAGCATTGAACAGCCTTGTTTGGGAAACTGTTCCATATTTCCATTACTCTGTGGGAAATCTTCTAAACACTAGTCCTGCTTGAGGAGCAAAGATCTGATCCTCACCTTTTGCACTAGTAGATTTAAATAATTCCAACTAACCTCTGATTTTGTGTCTTAGCCTACCATCGATAGCAAGTTAAAATGCACAGAATTTGCATAACTCCTGCCTGGGATTTGTCAACATTGTCTTAATATTTGCAAAGGTGGCACCTGCCTCCCCACACCCCAATAAAAAAGGTAGATTTACATAATTACCATTGAAACAATTTATTGCTTCAAGTAGGAATATTTAATTTTCTACTTAAAGAATTTATGAAAGTACTGTCTCCTGTATTTAATTATTTGTAGTTAGATTAGCCAATTACTAACCAAAAATGAGCCACTTTTGGCTCCATTTTCATAGAGTAATTCATACAGCTTTTGCTACACAAAGTGTTTTATTGTAGTTTCCTGATTGCCCACAAAATATAGAGTCAATTCACTTTGCAGTATATTCCGTGAAGCTCTTTGAGAAGTCTCGAAGACATGAAAAGTCCTATAATAATAATAATCCTTGCATTTGATGTAGCGCTTTTCACGTCTTTGAGACGTCTCAAAATGCTTTTACAGAATATACTGTAAGGTGAATTGACTGTATATTTGTGGGCGAAACGCAGCAGCCAATTGCGTACAGCAGTGTCCCACAAACAGTCGTGGATTGAACATGACTAATTTATTATTGTTTTGTTTTGGAGGGATTTTATTAGGCGTGTGGAGTAAGGAAACTTGCCCAAGGTTTCGCTATATCAAAGGCAAGAATTATTATTATATCAAATGCAAGGATTATTATTATTATAATTATTATTCTGTGAAGCATGTTGAGACATTTCAATTATGTGATAAGGTGCTATACCAAATGCAAGATTCTTATTATTATATACGTTGTTATCATGAAACATGGATAGCTTTAGTAATGCTAGCAGCTTCCAGTGTTCAAAATATCTTAGGCCAGTAAACCCTGGCATATAATGGTATTTGAACTTTCTCAAGACATTGAGCAAGATTTGCCAATTCTTGGAGCAATACAGAGGGGGGGAAATGAAAATAAACTGACAAAATCAATCCCATTTTAGGGAAAATACGCATCTTTTACAACAACAACAACAACAAGATTCCATTTATTGAGCGCCTTTCACGTCGGGAGGACGTCCCAAGGCGCTGTACAGTTGGGTCAGGACCCGAGCAGGCGGGGAAATGGTCAGGGTGAGGGGAGGGAAGGGAGGGAGCGAGGAGGGGGTAGAGAGTCGAGAGGGGAGCTGAAGGCACAGTCAAAAAGAAAGGTCTTGAGACCGGCCTTGAAGGAGGAAAGGGAGGAGGCGGCGAAGGCACTGGGGGATAGAGTTCCAGAGCCTCGGGGCTGAGAGGCTGAAGGCCCGGCCACCAATAGTAGGGCAGTTGGGGCGGGGCATGTGGAGCAGACCGGAGCCAGAGGAACGGAGGGTACGGGCGGGTAGGTAGGGGGATAGTAGGTCGGAGAGGTAGGAGGGAGCAAGGCCGTGAATGGCCTTGTAGGTGAGGGTGAGGATTTTAATCCAGTCGTGGAGTGGCATGGCTAGCAGCTTTGTCGAAATACAAAGTTTGCTTTGGGAAATGCCACTGACACTCGAGTCCGTAGCTTTAGATCTTTGCACCTGTGGCTCTTGGCCAACCCGCTCTACAATCTCCCAACCCAAACCCATTACATTAATTGAGAAACGTAAAAATAAATCTCAAAAGTATTATTATTTTCATTTAATTTTTTATTCAGCACGGTACCACTCATTTTTCCGTCTATTTCCTGGTCTGTATTATAGTGTATTATAAGTGGACATGTTGCTGGCCTGCTCCGATTCCTCTGCCACACTATGAACCAGAAGCTACATGATGGGTGAGTCTAGCATGCAATGGATTTAACAATGTCAGTCATATTTAGGTGCTATACCTGAATGCTTTCATTTGGGGGCCACACATTAGAATAGTAACACATCAAGCAAGTATCATTGGGGAGTAATGCAGTAATGCATTCGAGAATTCATTTGGGGGTTTGTATTGTGAAGGATGTTCACACATAATTTACTACTCTTGATATTACTGCAAAAAAATTAAATGAGCATGCAATAAATTAAATTATTTTAAAGTATAAATAATTTTCTGAATTTAAAACAAGTCTGTGCATCTTTTTAATTTAGAGACAAATGAAATACAGCAGCTTACGTTCTGAATATCTTAATAATGCTTTCAGACAATCAGCAGATGAACTGACTTTAAAGCCAAATAGCATCCTCCCTTTTTCTCTGATTCCAGCACAGAGTCACATAAGCAACATGTTACAAAAAGGGAATCTAGATTTTTTTTTCCTCTCTCCGTCAAGAATCAGAAATATAGATGAGCAAATGCAAATTAATTCCGAAGCACATCATCCCATTTAGCATCTATTCATTTCTCTGAATAGACACAGTAGACATAGTACACTTTTACTATATTGCGAGGT